TTCTATGGGAATGATGTGTTTGCAATGGGACTACTCCCCACGTCTCGCGGACTTGCGGATTTCCCTCTCCCGGGACTTCGGACCCTGATCGTTTTTGATATTCCAAGAAGCTACGTGCGGCGCATCGTTCTAGAACGACTTTCGCTCGTTGGTCCGCTGGAGGAGCTTTATTATCAAGAACCTGACAGCCGACCGGTGCCAGAGGAGGAGGAGGATATAATTGTCCCAGACGATTGGCAACATCAAGTCGAGAAGTACTATCGTATTAATAGTCTGAAATCTGATCGTTATTGTAATGTAGTTAACAGGCAGTGGTCATACTTAACCTAGTACCTCGGTTAGTCCCCTACTATGTTACATGTGTCGCTCACGACTTGTGTCAAAAAAGAAAAAGTGGCTATCCCCGTGCCTTCTTGTGCTGCCAAACTGATTTCATTAAACTATGTATGTCCATTCTCAATACCCATTCAATGTTAGCAAGCGGGAGACGACCATGAGATGGGATCCCCCCTGTGGCACTATCAACTCAGGCCGGTGTCCGTGGTATCTCCTGACATTCATGTCTGACTGACGAGGGACTCGGAGGTTAAGCGGCATCATCAATCAGCGCTTCAGCAGTCGTTGTGGGCTTCGTAAAAGCCGCGAATAGTAACGACTCAGATGCGTCACTGGACGTCTGGCGTGGCAGTCTGGCTCTTGCAAACAGAAGCTAGTGTGGCCTCAATCTGATGATAAACGATACCTGCGATAACGCCCGAAGCCACTGCTGGACAGTGGAGGGTACCCCACTCCATCACCGCAGAACACGTCGTCATTTTCCCGTTCTATGATTGGCTCTCCTTTCGACTGAGCGAATCTTTGACTTCGTGCAGGTGTACTGTCCGTGCCAAGCCTTTTAAACGAATACAAATCGGTTCGCACCATGTGGGCGCGAGTCGGCGAGTTTGGATATTATGATGTCTGTTGAGATAGAGGTTGATCCTCACACAGAAGGAGAGGCTGTCTTGCTTCTAATAGGATCTGCCTGCGGGAGACTACAGGTAGGTATGCGGTGGGTGGGAGTGCCTGTTGATGCGGAGTGCAAAATTGGCGCGAGCTAGACCTTCAGATACTCGTGAGATGACAGGCCTGAGAGCAGTTAACCTTTGAAGTGAGCACGAGGACAAGACATAGGGTGCGTACTACCTACAGGACAAAACTTAAATGAACGTGTTTCTAACTTTCTTGATCCAAACGTCCACTATCTTACCTTACAGTCCGGCGCCCGCGCCTCTCGTTGATGATTAGAGCACTGAATTGATCTGAACGGTGCTTCACGTGAGTGACCCTCTTCTATACGGCGAAGCTGATTGGCTGATTACCAGCAACTTCTTCTACGTCCCCCAAAGTTTCATTGCACATTCTCGAACCGCACTACAGCAACGTCTGCACACAAAAGTCATCTTGTGTGTTAGGACTGAATTCGCTCCAGTAAGCATGTCTTTTGCAAGCGTGCACCTGTATTGACAATAATAAAACAAGCCTGTTGACTCACCAACAATCTTTATCATTGCCAGACAACCCATTTTAATACAAACATCCCGGGAAGTTGCACTCACTTATGTTAGCCACCATCTGCCGTGATCGAGACCCCGAGCGTCGATCAGTCTTCCCCCATTGCTGAGATACAAAAATGCAAAGACGCCAGCGGTCGCCGCTCAATCTCTCAAGCCCTGAAGGCCTGACAGACGATACAAGGCTATACCAGCCAGGTACAAGATGCTGTCAACCTGCTTGTCGGAGAACGCATCATTACATGTTTGGATGACAGCTAGCTCCGATTACAATGGGACCTAGAGAGCGGCATGTAGATCGGGGATGAGGGCAGGGAAATGGACAGGGACGTCTAAGTGCAACTCGAGTCTCCTCCAACCTTCAAGATGACTAGGATGGTTAACGCGGTTGTGATGATGGACGAGGCTTACTGCCAAGGATTTGTATCACGGCGGCCGCATCTAGTGATGTCCACCACCAATCAAGATGACCCTTGTTGTATCATCGGTGATTAAATTTCAAATCTTAGTACTTCGAGAAATAATGGTACCTTGCATGGTACTTTGATTGTACATAGCACGTGTAGTAGATGCCGCGGCTTTACCCCTCCGTACCGTGTGAACGCACTATGGTGAAGTCCGTTAACCCGCATCTATCAATACTTCAACAATTATAATAGTCTGCCATTCACCAATGACCTCCTCAAGTCCTCTTATCGAATACACCACATTTCATATCCCCTCCTCTTGCAATAGAAATGCCTGAAATATTTACTGAACCACTTGACTGTGTGATCCCCGACGACTTGACTCTAACCCAGTTCTTCCTTGACTCCCACCACCCACGTAGGCCGGTCCGAACTGATGCGCCATGGTTAATTGAGGACGAGACTGGGAGGCGCATTGGATATGAGGAGGTGCGTGGAAATTGTTGATTATATTACAGTAGCGATTCTTACTAGGCGCCTGCCCATCTGGCAACTTGAAGATCCGTGCACGAACCTTTGGATTTGCAAATGGGCTTGCATTGCGCTATGGTATTAGTACGTGCTGTTTAACGTTCCTCAGTAGTAGCTGCGTGTCCTAATAGCATACATGCAGAAGAAGAAGACGTCGGTAGGTGTTGTCCATCCAGTCCGACTACATCCTTTTTATGATTGGTCTGCAGTCCTTATCTTTAGTCCTAATCATGTTGGTAAGGTTTTCTCTCCACTCCCCCATCGGCGTCAGTTCACCGTCACCCGTAGATTATCCACCTGCAATATGGGCCACGCACCGACTGGGTGGAATTGTTTCGTGAGCCCAGCAAATGATAACATTCTTACCCTCTCAGGCTGATCCGACCGAAACATTAAAGCGGCGCGAATCCGACCTATACAGCGGAAGAACTCTTACACCAGATCCAGGCTGTGAAAGCAACCCTGATAATTGCACATCCGTCCTCCCTCCATACGGCCCTCGATGCTGCACGCGCAGCCCACATACCTTCTGATAGAGTTATTACTTTCGGCGAATCGACTCAGCCAACTGTAGAGAGTATCATCCAGCTTGGACTCAGTAACGAAGCTGCCTTTGTCGAGCGACGATTGAAGAAGGGCGAAGGCAAGACCAAAGTCGCATTTTTAAACTTCTCTAGCGGTACAACAGGTAAACCTAAGGTGCGTTGTTGTCTACAAGTATCGATACCGAGTAGACGCATAAAACAATAAATAGGCGGTAGCCATTGCGCATTATGCACCCATCGTCAACGTCATCCAAATAGCCCAATATACAAAAGTCAACGAAAACTATGCTCCTTGGGAGGAGCAGCGGTTCAGACCAAGTGACATAGCCGCTGGAGGTATGCATTCATCCGAGTTTTTTGAGGTTACGTCTGATTTACTATTGCTCAGTGCTTCCCTTCTTCCGTACGTCTGTTCATTCCATGTATTGTATGTGGCGTTAAACACATGCCTTGTACAGATATCTATGGCCTTGTATTCTCCGTGAGTGCAAGCTTCCCACAACGTTCTGAGAATCTGCCGTTGATTTCCGAAGTAGGTTTATGCGGTGCCATTTTTTGGAGTAAGTCCATCGCGCCGTGTAATTTCCAGGATTAATGCTAGGGTTGCTCACTAGATGTCGCTGGTGGTCATTCCAAAATTCAGCTTCACAGATTTCTTAAAGAGCATAGAGAGGCACCATATCACTCACCTGACGTGAGAATCAGTCTTCCTGTCGTCGAAAAACGCGTTGATTATTGACGTATTGGCTACCCAGACTCGTTCCGCCTCAAATTGTATTGCTTTGCAAGGTCAGTAAACGTAAATTGATAGGAAATTGATTCTTGTGTGCTGAGGAACGTGAACCCAGCATCCGGCAGTCAACAACTATGACCTAAGTGCCATTCGATTCTTGATCTCCGGAGCTGCACCTCTTTCAGCTGAGTTGGTGAACCAGCTCATGAAAGTAATCCCCAATGCCCAAATCGGCCAAGGTTACGGTAAGTCCGCTACTTCTTGTTCCCTTGACGCTGACATTCACCGCACCTGGAATCTAGGGCTGACCGAATCTTCTACATCGCTCACAATGTTCTCGGTGGATGAGAAAATAGGTATCCCAGGTGGCGCTGGACGGTTTCTCCCAGGTATAGTTGCCCGAGTAGTCAGGCCTGATGGTTCCCTGGCTGGCTTCGATGAACCAGGCGAATTAAGAGTGAAGACGCCTTCCTTGGCATTGGGATATTGGAATGATGAAAAAGCAACAAAGGAGACATTTGTTGAAGGATGGCTTTGCACCGGAGACGAAATTATTATACGTGAAGACAAGGAAGTTTTTGTCGTCGATCGATTGAAGGTATTCTGCTTCGAATCTCTGTTGCAATGGCTTATCTGTCTATCAGGAAATCATGAAAGTCAAAGGATTCCAAGTAGCTCCTGCCGAGCTAGAAGGTTGTATTTTAGATCACGGTGACGTAGCAGACACGTGTGTCGTGCCCATACCTGACGACTACAGCGGAGAACTCCCGTTGGCGTTCGTCGTGCTTCGTGCGTCTGCTGCGAATCGTGTGAGCAAAGATTCCCGTGAAGTAGACAAAGTAAAGGCGTCCATAATGAAGGTTCGGCCATTTCATGTCAAAGCGATGGCAGCCGGGCTGACGTCGTTATTCAGCACGTCGCAGACAACAAGGTCGCATATAAGCACCTAGCGGGAGGCGTGGAATTCATAGATGTCATACCAAAGAATCCGAGCGGAAAGCTACTACGACGGGTGCTTCGTGACCGAGCTCGGCAATTGAAGGCAAGAGAGCTCAAGGCCAAGCTGTGATATGTTTTATACAATAATGGTCAATCTAAGAGCTAGAGGGTATATATATAGCTTATCGGGTGCTGTTAACTTACTCTCATCCGTACTTGGACTGAACTTGTTCGCTAAACATTCGTTTCTCGCTCGCATGAAACTTTTGCCTACCCAGTACTTCTTTTCTTTGTTTTTTTATGAAACAGGGAGAAAGTAGTACAATTGTGAGTCATATTTGAATATGTTGCAACCAGTCAACGTGCTTGTTCGTTGGCCAGCTGGCTGGGGTGACAATTCGGACACCGTTCCTTAGTCCTAATCCAAACTGACACCACTAAAAAAACTGAGATCCTGCCGGACAAGTCACACGAAGTACTTGGCATCCCGTAAGCCATAAACTGTCAGCACCCGTCTTCCTTCCTGCTCTCTGCATACCCATATTCTCCAAGCCCTTCCATGTCTGAAATTTATGGTCCGAGTCTCGAGACGTCTGTTCCCGATGACCTTACTTTACCTCAGTTCATCCTCGACTCGTCCCATCCATTGAGACCTATCCGACCGAGCCATGTGCCATGGTTCATCGAGGACGCCGGTGGCAGAGGTGTTGGACATGAAGAGGTGTGTCGCGTAGTTCACAGCCATGACGTCAGTAATATTGACTGTACGCTCAAGGTCCGTGCAAGAACTTATGGACTTGCGAATGGCCTGAGTCTGCGGTTTCGTGTCAGTGAGTTCCGTCAAAAGTGCTATGATCCGTAAGGGCTTCTTTTGACAATTTCATTTTAGAGGAGAATGATCTAGGTGTGTGCTTGCAACGTGTACTTAGGCGCCTCGGGCCATACCATATAACGTCTAGACTCATATTGGCTGTGCATTAGTGCTCATTTTCAGCCCAAACCACATTGGTATTTAAGTTCTAGTCGTTTCTGGACATATGCTCACCGCTTATTGTACATAGACTATGCGGCGGCTATATGGGCAACACATAGGCTAGGTGGTGTCGTGTCGTATGTCATGCACGCTCTAATATCTTGGAACCCATCTGATAACCACCGGACTTCTATCACAGATGCGCAAATCCAGCAAATAACACCAACGAATTGCTATATCAGCTTAAGGTGGTCAACGCGTCTTTGATTATCACGCATTCCTCCTCTTTGCAGACTGCATTGGGTGCTGCTCAGGCTGCCGGTTTGCCATCCGAGCGCGTCATCACTTTCGACGAGTCGAATCAGATATCGGTAGATGCTCTTATTCAGCAAGGGCTGCGGAGTGAGCCAAATTTCGTCGAGCGGAGGCTGCGGAAAGGAGAGGCAAAAACGAAAGTTGCATTCCTCAGTTTTTCGAGTGGCACAACGGGAAAACCGAAGGTGTGTCAAGTCTTGGGTTGATGGATGAGGCCTCATATCCATGGTCGCGATAGGCCGTTGCGATACCACACTATGCTCCCATCGTGAACGTGATTCAGATGGCTCAGCAACAGAAGGTCAACAAGAACTATGCCCCTTGGGAAGAGCAGAGGTATCGGCCAGGGGATATAGTCGCAGGAGGTACGCCTTTATAGGCATGATGTGACGTCGCTGACCATCTCGTGCACAGCTCTACCTTTCTTCCGTACGGAACCTCTTTCCATTGTATATGGTCCAACAAACTGAAGTGTGTAACTTTTCTAGATATTTATGGCCTGGTGGTGATAGTAAGTTGGATTTCTACGACCTCAATCATATAACTTAAACGCGGTTACTTTAGATTAACTTCATGACGTTTTGTGGCGTGAGTTTCCTTGATTCTTTGCCATCTCTCTTTCTCAACTCCGTGCAGTTATCAATTGTGGTAATACCCAAGTTCAACTTCACGGAGTTTCTAGAGAGTATTGCGAGACATCGTATAAGCCATCTTCTGTGAGTTGCTACCATTACTATGACTTATCATAGGAATCCTAATTTGCACACAGACTTGTACCACCTCAAGTCGTGTTGTTTTGCAAGGTTAGCGTCGACGTTTGCGGTAACTGATTACTCAGCCTGATACTTCTGGCAGCACCCTGCTGTGAAAAACTACAATTTAAATGGTGTCAGGCTCCTGATGTGTGGAGCTGCCCCTCTCTCCGCCTCTCTTGTTGACCAGATAGTGAAGATTATGCCGAACGCGCAGATAGGTCAAGGTTATGGTAGGGCAGCTTTTTGACCAACATATCGTCTGTCTTTCATCATTTTTAGGCATGACCGAGGCCGCTGCTACTATCGCAATGTTTTCCGCGGACGAAAAACTTGGGGTTCCTGGCGGTGCCGGGCGCCTGTCACCTGGCGTCGTTGCCAAGGTTGTCAAGGACGATGGGACCCTGGCGGGATTCAACGAACCTGGAGAGCTACAAGTGAAAATTCCGTCTATAGCGCTAGGATATCTGAACAATGATGAAGCGTAAGCAATCATCTATGGCATATACTGGCTTGAGCTTAGTTGCTGCTCAATAGCACCAAAGAAACCTTCGTTAATGGTTGGTTGCGTACTGGCGATGAAGTTGTTATACGCGAGGACCATGAAGTGTTCATTGTTGATCGCCTGAAGGTATGCTGTCGTACTTCCATCCTGTATCGATTTTCGAAAAATTCAACTTTCTTTGCAGGAAATCATGAAAGTCAAAGGATTCCAAGTGGCTCCTGCAGAGCTGGAGGGCTGCCTTCTTGATCATCCTGATGTTTCAGACACGTGTGTGGTGCCAATTCTCGATAGCTACAGCGGGGAGCTTCCTATGGCGTTTGTGGTACTTAATCCCAACACAGTTAAGAGGATTGCCTTGGATCCTGCTGAAGTCCGGAGGGTTAAAGTATCCATTATAAAGGTTAGCTCGTACTTGCCAACTTCATTATTTGAACCAGATCTGACTGTTACCTCTTTAAAGCATGTGGCAGACAATAAGGTCGCGTATAAACACCTTGCTGGCGGAGTGGAGTTTGTGGATGTAATTCCAAAAAACCCAAGTGGGAAGCTGTTGCGTCGTGTCCTGCGCGATCGGGCGCGTGACTTGGTATGGTCGAAGTCGAAGCTGTAATTGGATTGTTACTATCATCGTATGTATCTTGGTTGACGTGTTTGCGTGATCTCATTGGTGTTCTATATCCAGTGTGCATTGTTTTTCACATCCAGGGTCCCCTCGAATTAGTAACGTCCCTTTCACGAGATTCGAATGGCCATTACATTTTGTGACATATACTAAATTTGTAATAGCGGAGGGGTTTCCCAATGGCAGTGTCAACTGGAAACACTCCACTTTAAATACTACACCCCAAGTACTTCGGAGTGAGTGTGGCGTCACTGATCGCCATGCTGTAGCGATCCCCTCTCATTTATGTCATACTTTAATCTTCCCCATCCAAATCACTAAGTTTGTGATCACCTAACCCCGGGGCGAACTGGCCAGTGTAGCGGCGCCCAGTTTATCATTTAACCCTATCTTATTAGGTACTAATGTCAGACAGATAAGTATTCTGACATCACCGGCGTTACGCGTACAGGTAATCGTAAATATCAACAAACCATGACTATCAGCCGCATCAGAAAACCCAGAGCCAAGCTCCTCGGACGCGACAATGATGGAATCAGTCGCTGGGCCTCATTTTCTATTGTGATGTTAAACGGTACTTAGTCGGACCTGCCGTGTTTTTGTCGCGTGGTACTTGCCACCTACTAGGATGTAGGTCACTTGCGTCTATACCTAAACGATGAATGTTAATGAAGGACTTTAATTGACTCACAGTTACCATACATCATCTTGTGGCTGTTGCCACTGCCAGAAAACTCGTGGTGCGGCGCAAATGATACTTTGATGTGATTGCTTCAATCTACTCCAATGTTCGTTGCAACCTGTGCAATACTAGTCTCGGACTTTGAATCACAATTCCGTGATGTCATGCTAGCCCGATGGCCGATACGGCATATGCCTCAACCACCTGCCATCAGAAGGAACCATGCCAGCGCGCATCGCAAGCTTTTTTTAAATCCATCAGAGAAATGACTCTAGAGTCTAGACACATCTGCGCAGGATTCGCCACATCCGTAAGACCCCAGGTGGCAATGCACTAGCTTCATGATTATACTTAATATCGCGACCTACTAGTGGAGTTTAGACGCCTTACAGATTATAACTCACAATCATGTCTCTCTCGGAGCAGGACCTCACACCACAAATTAACATCGGGAAGACGTTCGGGGCACTTTTTATTGGGGTGACTATTGCAGCAGTGTTCGTAAACGATTTGCTCGTTATGCAGTCAAAGCTGTGTGTTTCCTGCTGTCCTGACTTATTTTACGGAACAGTCTCTTTGGTTTAAGCAACGTTCAAGCTTTCATTTACTTTCTGACGCATGTGGGCACAGGCATGACGTTCTATAAGCTAGCTGTACGTTTATACCACTTTCTATTAGTTCTGCTCTAAACGCCATGTCAGGTCATCTGGCTCTGGTAGGCATTCATTCGAGTTGCAATTATCGAGCGGGTCAATATTATGGGCTTCTCTGAAACCTTAGGATACTCGATGCTCTGCACCTGATCTTGATTGGCCATTGCGTCTACTATTATCTAGTAATCAACTATGCAAACGTCAGTGCGCTCACGGAAATTGTATGGAGTTTTAAAGTGAGTTCTTATTGTCGTCCTCCGTGCAGTTCCGTAGTACTATGATATTGATGGGCTTATGCAGCTTCAGATAGTAGTTGAGGTGAGTTGTATTTTTTAAGCTTTGCGGCGCACCTCAGTCACGCACTCTATAGGTTTTCATTGTCTATGGGGTACATCTGTAAGTTTGATGTGCAGACTGTGATGTGCAACTTATAATCCATACATTCTTGTAACATACTAGCCTGTATGTTTATCGCATATGGATAAGTATGTGTCTCCCTATCAATGGATTTCTACGACTGATGCAATATACCTAGTCAGCAGGGGTCGATCAAGAATCCTCCCTATCATAGTAGTAAGTTTGCAATTGTTATAGGTTCTACAGCATTTCAGCCTGCTGATTCGTTGCTAGGGCCTAATCGAAATATCACTCTCAGGTAAGTCTGTTAGCTGGAAATGCCTTTTGTTCGATCTTAAAAATCCCTTCAGGTGTTGCTATCGGTAATTGTTTAAATGATGCTCTTGTTGTTAGCTCATCATTTTAATCCAATGCCAGCCCTTATTTGGGCCTTGTGAGTGAAACTGTGTACTTTCTAGCTACACGAAGTGCTGATAGTGGGTAGATACCAGTGTCATGTATTCTCGGATCTGGTTAAAATCCAGTGGTCGACATTCATGACTTTGGGCACGATTACTTTTGCCGACTTCATCATCGCATCATCACTATGTTACCTCCTGGCTACCTCCCGTACTGGATTTTCTGGGTAAGGAACGATCCATTATCACCCGGCCCTGAGATACTACTAACGCGAAATATATAGCACCGATTCCGTCATAACGAAGCTCATGGTTTACATCATTAATACCGGCAGTCTGACGAGGTATTCCTCCTTCCAGACCATCCCATATCTTGACTCATATTTCATACAGCATGTGCTCGATGGCAGCTATGATTACAGTAAGCTTTGAGAAATTGTGTTGTCCATCTCTTCTCTGAGGGTGTCTACAGTGTGCAGTCATGCCGCGCAACTTCATCTTCCTCGCTATTGAAATTTTATTGGCTAATGGTATGATCAAAACCTTTTTCTATAATTGTGCTGACCGGTGGTCCTGTTTCAAGTATATATCAACTCGTTCCTCGCACTCCTGAATGCACGATACTATACGCAGGTCAATACAGACACGAACAATTCTTACCCATTGCACAACCGCCACGAGGTCTACCGCCCGGATCTGCACATCGGGGCGTCGGAAGATGAGGAGCTCCAGGCATCCAGAAAGGACGTGTTTAAACATCCCGATGATGAAACTGTGCATCCCTCTCTATCTGTCAAGGTCGGTGCTAGTTCTTGTGTCATTGAAGACTAAATGACACGTTTTAGCCACAGCAGTCGACTGCGATGTCAACGGATGTGAATACCTTCTCGTCTGTGTGATGGATGAGATGTACTATAGTCTATCCGCCTCTGCACGAGATAGGGGTCATAGCTTGGATATTGCGAGCTCTTATAAAATGGTACACAGTGGCGGGGAACGAGAGGAATGTAGTCCACTATATCGGTATCTGCAGGCTGGATACATTGCTACCAGCTTAGATTATATCTATCAGGTCTCTAAGTAGAAACAGTTGTTCTACTAGCGACTCTTCATGGCAGGGAGTGGCGGGTGTAGTTTGGGTGTAGTATTATGTAGTTTGATGGAAGTCGTTCGTTCAATTCCTCCAATACATCTCAGGTTCAAAACACCCATGTTCAAACCGGTTTCTTCCTCGGGCTAATGTTAATCGATCTGGCTTGCTCGTCGCTTCCTACTTTCTTGAATCCACTTCCTCGTGCCACTAGTTTTTATATTGCATAAATTGCCCCACATTGCCTTCTCAACTGCTACGGTAGCCCCACTGCTCTAGACGCATTATCTAGACTCTTCAATAAATCCCGTCCTTTCCATAAATTGAGAAGCATCGACATCCCGTCGAGAATATCACGCTATGCTTGTGTGGCCGACTCCGACGCTGAAACCAACATGAGTTTGATTGCCTGACAGGAGCGCGTGCGTGTATCAACTAGCTCTACTGTGTAACATGGGAAATGTTTGCCGAGTGCTCTGAGTCTGCGGGGAAAGAAATTTGTTCGACAATAATATCGTCGTGGTGTATTGAAGTTATTGGGTGTTCCGAATCAATTCTCGGCAAGGGTGTTACCGACACGATAGCGTTGATCGACGTCTGTTCAGAGATGATTCAACAATATCGAACATGATGGTTTGACATACAAAGATACATACAATTATATGCCTCTATCACGAAGGTGCATGGCAAAGAGTCTTGATAAAGATGAGGGAGGAGTAGAGAAAGTGAAACTCAGCTTTAAGTTATCAAGCGCACCTGACAACGTACCAGTAAGGCATCCATCACGATGTACACACACAAATACATTGATCTGAGTCGTGCAGTTGTAGCGTTGCGACTGCAAATCTATGGGATGAAGTCTGCCAAGCGGCGTTCAATGATCTTTCGGATTCCATCCTAGCTTTGTAACATAGCAGATCAAGCTCAGTATCTATGAGATACCTTAGCGTGGCATGATCCTTACTATGTAACGATCCCCGGAAGAATCAAGAACCTCAAAAGATGGTCGAGATTGATTTTGCAGAGAAAGGATTTTTTCGATTATGAAATTCAATCAACGAGGATGATCAGTGGTAGTAGTACGTACGATCGTGACGCATACTTCATAGTTATTTTTGAAAAATTGTCGTAGGATCTTGACAGTCAATTGTTTGCTGGTCCTTCATCCAGATCTTCATCCCGCAGATAAAAGTTACACCTGCAAGACGAAGATCTGGTAAAAGGAAGCCATCGGGAGCAGACACATCTCCTGATGCTCAATGATCTACTTGGAGTTAGAGAAATAATAGATAGATGTTGGAGAGTTTACCGAATTCCTGGCCCTGGACCTCTTTAATCCGAGAGAGATCAAACAAATGTTGATCATGATCTCGATCCACTGTGAGAGATGAACATGCGTGGACTGATTATTGGACTTTGGTGATGATCATTCTCCTGACGGGGACATCATATGGCCCTCGAACTTCGAAAGGTGGTGTAGGCAAGTACGTAATTGGTGGAGTTGGTCAATGAAGGATGGAGAAAACGGGGAATGACTAGGCTCACATTAAAGTAAAGTGTCGATCTTTTTCGCGCAACGTGAAGTTACTTTGCTCAGATGGTCGAAACGCAAGTCGCGAAGCATGGATGTGTCTGAGATGGTCATCGTGACATGATTGGTGCATCCTGGGATTGCAAGGTGCTGATAACGAATATGATAATGGAGATATCTTCAACAGAACAAAGAATATGAGCAACATAGCTAGCAGGCTTCTGAACACGGACACAAACGCTTTGAAGATTTGACGACATCGAGATCGAACATAGGCCAAAAGAAACGTCTGAAGCTGAAAGCAGGTGCTGCTCCCCGTTGAATGCCACCATCGAGATAGTCCATGGTATAGCAAGATGCACATGGCGCCAATCGCAAACGCGAGTGCTTCATCTATATAGCACTCAGCATAAAGGGAACACGAAGATAACAGGTGGGACGAACCGAGCGAATAGATAGCTAACTTCCTCGACTCCGATCCAAACGCCAGCTGATCGCTAGTGATTTGAGCGTTAGGTTTGTCGTGGGTGATACTGGATTTTCTGCAACATGCTCACCAGCGGCAATATTGTATACCCCCAAGGATCTCTTGCACATTTTTTAATCATGCGCGCAACTTATACATATTCCCTCGTATACATACATATTGTGCGATCTGCATACTTAAGACGTCCCAGTGGAAATTGACAAAAAATTTAAACAGGCCGTTATATCCGTGAAGATAAAAGCACGAATGGAGCTCCGAGTCGTCGCCGCGTTTCGGGGTCTCAATTAGAAGAACCCGTTCAACGGCACTTTTCGAGATGCCCCGTGTGCATGACAATCGCAAGTATTTCTGCGGAAATTGAATTCGAGCGACCGCGGATCAATCAATGAAAATTCTGAAGACAGCTGTGTAACATGTTCTGTGTCCAATCAATGTTCAATGCAATGATGGCAGTGGTATGGACCGTATGGTACCAACTCAAGTAAGTAATCCCTTTTGATGAACTTGAGAGCGTCCGTCATGATACACTGTTTCATCCTCATCGTAGAAGATGTACCTCCACCATGGTACATCAACACCAAAACCTGACATTCATCACGGAAAAAAAATGCCAACTAGCTAGGGAATATATAACATGGTGGAACAACTGTGTTACTGGTTGACTTGGCTTGGTCAAAAATACCAATGGCTTCGCAAGACCTCATCCCACATGCTCAACTCACGAGCACGTTCGGGGTGCTGTTTATCGGGGTTATCCTCGCAGCAATGTAAGTAAATTGTTCATTCACTATTCAGTCAGTCGAATGTTTCCTCTCACGAAACAGTCTCTTTGGTGTCACCAATGTCCAAGCTTTCATCTACTTTCAGACGCATAGCCACTGTGATACAGGGATAACATTTCACAAGCTGGTCGTACGTCTATGCTGCCTCCCTGTCGATTTCTGTTATTGATACTATTTTAGGTCATATGCTTTTGGTAAGCATCTTTTCGAGTGGCGATTGTCAAGCACGTCGAGATAACACCATACCCCAAACTTTTAGGATACTCGATGCTCTGCATCTGGCCCTGATCGTCCATTGCGTCCATTTTTATTTAGTGATCAACTACGCGAACATTAGTGCGCTCTCAGAAATCGTATGGAGTGCCAAAGTGAGTTACTACTTCCTCCCTGAGCCTCTACTATGTATCATATTGATATGCTTCTGCAGCTTCAGGCGGTAGTCGCTGTAAGTTATACGTCCTAAGCCCTATACTTCGCCTCACACATGCACTCCCCAGGCTTCCAGCATCTTTGCGGCGCATCTGTGAGTTTGATGTACAGTGTTATATGCAGTATTCACTCAATGCTTTCTGAATCCGTAGTCTATATGTTCATCGCATATGGACAGGTATTTCCCCTCTATCAACAGATTTATTATGACTTATACAGTCAACCTAGTTAGCAAGGGCCGGTCAAAAGTTCTGGCGATCATAGTGGTAGGTTTGCTATCAATGTCTATAGTCAAGCCTTATGTTTCATTCTGTTGTTCTGCTACTAGGGCATCGCCGTCGTCCTAACTTTAGGTTACCTGGTAATGCTCTTCGCTCAATCTCTGAGAATTTTTTTAGGTCTTACCATCGGTGAGAGTTATTTGGTACTGTTGTTGCTTCTTCATTTTAACACGATGAAGTCATTTTTTGGTTCATGTGAGTGAGACATCGGACTCCCCAACCGTTCTTAAGTGCTGATAGTGAGTAGGTATCTGAATGTCCACGCAACTGCCGATTTGGTCAAAATGGAATGGGCAATATACGTTTATCTGGGCCCTGCTGCCTTTGTCGATATCCTCATCGCATCATCATTGTACTATCTCCTCGCTACGTCCCGTACTGGGTTCCCAAGGCAAGTTATAGTCCATACACTGTCAGGTCTGAAATACTGACATATAGTACTTAGAACGGATTTATTTATATCAAAGCTCATGGTTTATATCATCAATACAGGCTGTCTGACGAGGTATTCCTCATTCCAGCCTACCCCATACTTTGACTCATATTTCATCCAGTATGTGTTCAATGGCAGCTATCATTACGGTGAGCTCACACCTCTTGTTCTGCCCATCTTCTCTCTGACTGTCTACAGTGTGCAGTGATATCGAAGAACTTCGTATTTGAAGCTGTCGAATTTTTAATGTTTAAACGTATGGTCAAAGAATTCCTCGACGAGAAGGATCATACTGACTCGTGGTATCATAGTATATGTTAACTCGTTCATCGTACTTATGAACGCGGGATACTACGCGCAGCCCAACGTAGATGCAATGCATTCTTGCGAATGCAGTGTGCGCTATGACATCTACCGCCCGAGATTGCGCGTTGGAATGTCGCAGGACGAGGAACAGGCATCTCAGAAGAGCATGTTCAATCGTCCAGATGAAGTATTGCATATCACTCGACCTGTTCAGGCTGTCATGGTCAGTGGTTGCACCGCTGTTGACAAAATAGGACTGATGATTTACTTTAGCCGCGGCGGCCGATTGAGGTGACGACGGAAATGAATTTCTCTCTCTTCAGCATGATGAATCGATTGCGTGGACCAATGATTGTTTCCATATCTTGCGAGATGAATGGGGCCGGCTAATGACTCGAACTTCTTGGTAGTGTGCTACTCAACATACGGCTGTGGAGAGGCATCACTCCACTCCCATCCTTGCCGCGACTATTTCTTGGTGCGCCCAATCAACGTTGGCGTGATCAACTTTACTAAGTAGGCTAGTCTATCAAATCTGTACAATGATATCTCCATGCCGCGCGGGCGCTGTAACCTTATAAATCATTGTATTTGAATTGATGAGGTCGGACCTCAAACACACTGAGGTCGGTACGAACGAACGCATCAGGGACCCGGATATTCATACATGCAACGATCAGAGACATAGCCAGGAAGTCCGACGTTTGACCGTGTCTCATGAACACAAGTATACAAGATGCGTCTTATCTCGAGTCCATGCACTGCAGCGTACACCGCCCGTATATAGCCTCCTGATCCGATTTTTGTGGGAAAGATAGAGACAAAAAGAGGTCCCAAGCTATTAATTGTCCATGGAAAGATGGCTTTGTTAAATTTCGGTGTCCGATGACCGGATTTACGTACTTTTCCATTGTTCCATTGTATCAATATGAACTAGCGGATTCGTCTTCATTGATAGTATCTCTCCGTTGCATCGAAGCCGTGTTGTTGTCTATGGACCAGTGCGTACAGGTGATCATCAGTATCAGATAGATTGTGATCGTGGCAGCTAGAGAAATAACTGGTCGCTAAATTTTATTTATATTCAAGCAGTACATCTGGTATACACTGTATCCATGAAATCCTGGGCAATAATAGCGGCATCGTGTAGAACGCTGAGGTACGTGGGGAATACTGTGAGTCAACAAGCGGTATAAATACGAGCAGAACACCAAAAAATACGAGCGCAGGATATAGCATGTCAACTATCATAGACAAGGGCCAAACAGACATGTATTGACAGCGAGCGTGCCTGCTCCTTCAGATTCCCAAAATTACTTTCTCGTGGGAAATCCATCATCATACTCGACTTGCTGATCGACTGTGATTTGTACACCCAACCCAGTGCGCGCACGGGGAATACCACTGTCAACATCTTCCCCAATGATTGGGAGTACAGCCTTGGTTTCCTCGCGAGGGGTGACACTGCTTTTGTCGGCATCCCATTCTCCTCCCTCTTTACGAGCGGCCACGGCCACGGTGGCATCACGCATATCACCGAGTGTGAAAGTGTGGTTAACCCCTCTTGGTCTATTCCCTGAGCCAGAGAGCGAGTGGGTATTAGCTCCCGATGAGGAAGCAGCGTGGGAAGAAATAGAGAAGGTGCCACCGTTGGTAAGGTCCCCTCTAACGGATAGGATGATACGCATAGACATTGTTGTTGTAAGCACAGCTGCCATGCTGGTAACAATCGTCTTGATGGGGTCGGTTGGACCCGTGGGTGTCATGATGAAGTAGAAGAAGACGTTGATGAGGTTTACAAGGAGAATGGCACCGTACAGGTTCAAGCCATCACGAAGCATGAGACGCCAGTAAGATACACGCCTGGTTTCGAGCGTTCTAATGCTGCGTAGAGAAGCGAGGACGAAGCTGGTAGCGTAGAGCAGGGTTGGAGCTAGCCAGTAAATTCCAACCCAGCTTGCGTTATTCAAGGGACCAGCGATGCATCCCTGGCCATCTTCAAGATGGACAGAGCGGTAGAAACCGCAGCACAGGGCAGTGACGACAATCTGCACAGCGTATAATCCCCACATAGTTGCGCGAACATTTTGAACGTGGTCATAGATAGCCGATATGCGCATGACATGTACAGCGGATGCAACAGCCATGAGAACTGCCGTACAAATTGGCTCGTAAGGCCAGAAGGCGACGCAGTCCGTGTCTTGTATGACTGTCGTACTAAAGAACATTACACCTGTAACCGCGTTTCAGGTTAACGCCCGAAGCCTCACGATAAGACGGGCTTAGAGAGGGAAATGCACCTGTTACAACAAAATCCGCTAGGACCCAAAATTGCATGAAGTAATACATGAACTTCAGAGCTGGCCATTTGGGCAGACGTCCCAACCTGTAGGACCTGGGAGTGAGAACGAGGGCATCCCAGGCCAAGACAGTGAGTGTGCAGACGAAGAAATATTTTTGCGCCGACAGATGAGGCGGGAGGTCCAATGAGGGAGGGAGGGTCGGGGTGGTGGTTGTCGTGTTCGACATGGCAGATGGGAAGGAGGAAAGGCAATGAGCGCTAGATCTACATGGCTCAATAGCAGCGATTTTATTCGCATAGGGAGGCAGTTCCATCAGTTACTCATTATATAAGCAGAATCTTGATTCCAAGATTTTGGTGCACAGGGTCCTCCCACGGTAATTTATAAAGTGGCCGTAAATAACGGTAACGAACCTTACCGTTCCATCCGACGAGCTCGCATAATCTTAATGTCTTCTTCACCGTCGCTGTCATCCTCAACGCCTACCCTTACCAGCTCAATTGATCAGCCGACTAGTCAAACCTCCAGCACGGGAGGTAACCAACCGCCATCTACATCAACTACACTATATCTGTATGTGTTGCCAGATCCCACATAAGCGTCATAGGCTAACACAGGCTCCATCATCCCATGCACTGCTTTCCGAACGTTTCATCTCGCATTGGCAAAACGTTTCTCTCCCCTTCTTCGTTTTGATCTCCTTATTTTCATATATTTCCTCGATACGTTACGTGCGGCTCCTTGTTACAATATCGATGAACTCTACAACCAGCTTCACGTTCCTCGCCACCCTTTTCGTCCTCCTGCTCATCTCTGCCTCTATTATATTCCGTTCCTTCCTCGTGCGCCGTCGCTTTCGTCGGCGTGTCGAAGACGCTTTGGCACAAGGAATCTATATTGACCTACAGCCCTCAGCACTCGGTCTTACTTCACGGTACATCGGAGAGAAACCCAGCGTGCATGAAGCGTGGGTTGAACAGGATGTCTCACGGGAGAAATCCCAATGGCAAGCCATCATGGTCTGTTTCAAGCCACGTAGTCATTTGGCAGGACTTGGCTGATACTTTCCCTCAACAGCCTGTGGCGGTTCTTCTAACACACAGGGTCGAACCCACTGCGGAATCCCAATTACCTCATGAATCCATACAGCAACAGCGACCCTCATTCCTCGCGCGCTTCAAGCGACGCTCCGCATCTCCTGACCCACATCCGGCCACAATTCTTCGACACTCTGCCTCCTCAGACGACTCCGCCTCCGTCTGTGTCTTGATCTCCATGCCTGACCCTTTCTCCCCAATGCGCTTTAAGCATTCATCGGAAGATTCGGCCACGTCGCAACTAAGTGACGGTAAAGATCCGAACCTGGGCGTAACCCCAGGGAGGATCAACGATGAGGAAGGCGTCCCAAACGTTGTTTTTGGGGTGGCCGAACTTCCTGTGCTTGGTGGCTGGACAGAAGCAACAATGGCGTAATATTTTCGGTTATACACTTCCCTGGTATGACAGACACGAATAGGGTGGTAATATGATATATTGATCGGTGTGGACCTGTTTAACTAATCTTGGCTCTATATCAAGTACTGTATTCTTGTTTGTAACACTTACTACCACTTACCCACACCATGATACTCACCATCCTAGTATGCATGTAGTAGGAACGAGGCTGCAGGAATGTCCCTACTAACCCTTGCGGTTTCGCTGAGACATAATGTCAACGCCATGAAGGCATCCGTACCTGTTGCAACCTTGTGTGTCGCATAACCCTGTCACTTGAGTCTTGAGCTTGAGTACTGTGCCTTTGTACACAGAAGCCTTGTACCTTCACTGCATACCGATGCCATCATTACACGGCCTCACATCGTGTACGGCATTAAATATTATTTTAATTGACCCTATCATGATATCTACCCAGTGAATATTGTCGCCAGACCTAATACAGCCCTAATTGTCATCCATCCATGCCAAGGCGTCCAACTCGCACCGCCATCTGGCATCACATCAGCCAGATCCCTCGAACTCCGAGTCTCACACTGCTCGAACCCTCCGGTTATCTATCATGATAAGTTGTGGGTAGTATCATGACCTGGCGTAATCCCTGATGTGATCGGTTACTCTTTGAATTAAGAAGGTGGCGAATCGTTCTCGCGCTGATCCTGTACCCTCCATGGTTGATTTGTTCTATGCAGTGTGGAGTCTATCGCCGCCCCAATGATTCGGGGTACCTGCTAGTGTGATCAAGTAAAAATAGAACTTGTAAGAATCACTGTTTTCCTTCTCGATGAGAAAAAGAGATGGATGAAACAAAGTACTTATCTCGAAGTAGACCTTTAGTACGCCGATATCATTAGCCATGATGAGACAAGATGATATAGGGGCAAGACGTGTCGCACCAAGACCAGTGCTGATGCAGATGGGCCAGAACTTTCATAGTAGTTCGCAGAGTTCCGAGTTACAAAGTCCTCCACAGGATGGGATGCTTGAGTGAGAAATGATGTGAATAGGCATATTTCATGTAACCGCAATTTTAACTTATCCCCTTGAGACAGACTGATTCCGCCGTTGAGGCTGAAGGAACACAGTTTCCTTCATGGATGGGAGTCTTGGACATATCCAAGGATGCCGTTGGTTGTATTAAAAATCTAGAAAATGCCGAGACCTTGAAGATAAGCTGTGGAGACCAGCGTTGTCACTGCGGACATGGAGTCAATGATGCAGACTTTGCACGTGCGCCGGGCCGTCGCGCGGCGAACGGTCTTTTTCTTTTTTCTTGCTCTTCCATAAACTGTAATCTCCAAGCTCGCTGTCTTCTTACACTCTCTTCCTCCACCCGGACCGCGTCCGCGAGTGAGTTTTGTTTCTTGATCGTGCTGAATTTCGATGCTAGACCCTCTGACAGGTCTTCGATTTAGTGTGTGGTATTCTAGGGTTACTGCTCCATGATCCATCGGTTGATGCAGCCCCAGAGATTTCTGAAGGTCTCTCCTTGCTGCAGCACAGAGGACAGGATGCATGTGGCATCGTAACATGTGGACCTAAGGGCCGATTCTTCCAGTGCAAAGCCAACGGCATGGTCCGGGATGTCTTAGATGAGAAAGCTATCGCAAAATTGATCGGAGGTATGGGTGTTGGCCATGGTAAGCCTTCCCAGTTATGCGATCCTGTCAACGAGTATCATACCACACTGTAGTTCGTTATCCAACTGCTGGTAGCTCGGACCACGCCGAAGCACAGCCGTTCTACGTCAATTCACCATATGGTATTGTATTCGCCCACGTGAGTCTGTCTTTTAGGTTTCTTCCTTAGAGTCGACTGAAGGTTATGCTTAGAACGGAAACCTCATAGACAGCCCATCACTCTTGCAATATATGGACGCCACCGCACATAGACATATAAACACTTCATCTGATTCCGAACTTTTACTCAACCTTTTCGCCGACAATCTTCAGAAGACAGGCAAATTTCGTATCAACGAAGATGATATTTTCACCGCTATAGGAGGTCTTATGAGGCAGTGCACAGGAGCATATGCATGTGTTGCCATGCTCGCTGGCTTCGGGGTTATTGCATTCAGAGATCCAAACGGCATAAGACCAGTCGGGATGGCTTCTAGGAAAACCGACACTGGAAGAGACTACCTCTTTGCAAGCGAGAGCATCGTCGCTGATGCTTTGAGCTTTAGTGGATGGGAGGATGTGAAGCCCGGTAAGTACTTGTTCCCATCGTCAGTTGCAGCTATTGATAGGTTGCATTGGCGGTACTAGGCGAAGCAGTGATCATCACTCGGTCAGGGGTTTCCAGGAAACAAGTTGGAGCTCATGCGACCTTTGCACCAGATATTTTTGAATTTGTCTATTTCGCTCGCCCCGATTCTGTGCTTGACGGCATCAGCGTTTACCGCAGTCGAATGGCTATGGGCGACGCACTTGCTGTCGAAGTTGACAAGGTTTTGAAGGAACGTGGCATCACAGTGGATGTCGTCATCCCAGTCAGTGGTTTTCGCTATTTTACGGTTGTTTGGTCTAAGATGTTTTACAGGTTCCTGATACTTCTCGTGTTGCAGCCTTGAATCTTGCTCAGAAGCTCAAGTTGCCTTACCGAGAAGGCTTCATTAAGAATCGCTATGTTGGCAGGACATTCATTATGCCAGGTCAACAAATGAGGTAATACGCATGGGTTACCATAAACGCGAATATGTGATGCCGAGACTTTTCACAGACGGAAGAATGTTAGGAGGAAATTAAACGCCATGGCCCTGGAGTTTTCTGGGAAGAATGTTCTCCTTGTTGACGGTAAGATTTAGAACAACTGGAACCCAACATCTCGTAACACATGTTCTAGATTCCATCGTTCGCGGCACCACCTCAGAAGAGATCATCCAGATGGCGAAGGATGTCGGCGCAAAAAAGGTCATCGTCGCAAGCTGTGCCCCTCCTATACGGTAATCCCTACCAATGAACCTTTGCCAGACGGCTGACGAAAATTCAGGCACTCGAATGTCTATGGTATCGATATGCCTTCAAGGACAGAGCTCGTTGCATATGGACGCAACACTGAAGAGATAGCCGAGGCTATTGGAGCAGATCTTGTTGTGTTCCAGACTCTTCCCGACCTCATCGCATCCGTGCGACAGTTCAACCCATCTATTTCGACGTTCGATTGCTCCGTATTCACAGGAGAGTATGTCACCGGTGGTGTCAATGAAGAGTATTTGCACCGATTGGAGTCGCTCCGTGCGGACAATGTTAAGAACAAGGTGGCCGTGAACTCATTGGAAGGCCAAAGTGAGGGCAGTAGGGCCAATGGATTTCACGATCGGGTGAACATAGTGGCATCTGGCGGTCCAGTCAACAGCGCGGACGACACAGTTGGATTACACAACACCTGGAATATCAGTTGACGGTTACCTGGTTGCTTTTTCTTCCGTAAACATTGAGTAGACTACAATAGTTTCTTGATATTCCCTGTCTCATAGATAGATAGATAGATAGATTCTGTCGCCTGGAGAGAACTCGAGGAGAGCATTCCTGTGTAGGGAGCGGGGTTGAAGGGATGTGCGTCTAACAGATGGTAATGTCAACAGTATTATGGTCAATAGGAATAGAGAGGAAAGCAATTGCACTAGGCATACACTACTGAGACAGTCGTACAATCGATGTATAATAGATGATGACCCTAAGAAATAAAATGCAAGTGTGAAATGAAATCTACGAGTAGAACGTGTGTAGTGGAACGAATAGTTCAATTTGAAGGTTATCGGGTCGGCACGATACGTGCATTACCGGTCTGTCCTGGAAGCTGGGAAAGGGTGCGGTGCTTCGGCATGAATAGAGAAGCCATAGGATCCTTCTTGTTTATTGAAGGCTTAATCGGCCGCTGTTCCCCTGTGGATGATGGCTGTACTATCGGTGAAGGTTTCGATGAGCGAGCAGAAGGAGGAGAAGCAGCCAATTTTGGAGGAGTAGCAGGGGTTAAGACCGACGGCGTGGTAGGTCGGCCAGATGACTGAAGCGGTGCGGGCGGGATAGAAGGTCGTTTGTAGGTGACTGTCTTGACAGTGACCATGCTCTTGGTTGGCTCGGAAGGTCTGGGTACTGCGGGCTTTATACTGGGCGAACTATGCAGTGTGCGCTGTCGCGTAGGAGGAAGGACACGAGCAGAGTACACGGAGGTACGGAATTTAGTGGCCTCATTCTTGGTCTTCTGGAAGAGTGTCTTGGGCTGACTCGGCGCTCCCCCTTGATGTAAAGCAATTAACCACTGGAAGGAATACAAAAAAAGGAAACATACACCCTCGAGCACGTTTCGGGGGAGGTAGGCGATCGGTAATCTTGACCTCACGTTCCTTCTTTCGTTCTTCCGCTTCCATGCGTTGACTGCGGAGCCGAGAACCTGCTAGTTCAAGCCGTTCGGCCTCTGCCTCTCGTAATAACTAATCCAATCTTTTGTCAAGAAAGTGTCCAGAAATTGAAGAAAAGGCTTACGAAAAATTGCTCGCGCCAGGATTCGGGAGCCTCAGAGCCTTCTTGAAAATACTGTTCGGCTAAGAGAGGAAACGTTTTCCAACATAATCGTTGCCATATTTCTTTGGTAATGTTAGAAAGCAGTGGAGAGATCGTTGATTCCATTGAACCTACCAGAGGTATCATTCTCAAGATACTGCAGGAGGTGGATCAGGAATGAAAGCACGATAGCAGGAGATAGGACGAACGGGTGATGATTGTTCCAGACGAAGAAGGGTATCTGCAGAGCAACATTCCAGCACCGGCTTAATCACATCATACCGTATAGCATCATCTCCCAAACTGCTTATAGCTGCACGAATGACCTGCATTAGTCTCGGACGACATTGTTTGACATCTTCGGCACGCACAATCTGTGTATGTAGAGAGGACTGTACAAGACGATCACTTCAGCATACAGCCGCACACAATCGACAGACAACTCACCACGCTGACAATAGGTAACCAACGTGGGCAAACGGCGAGACTGGCACTCAGCTTCGGACATTATTAGGGAAGAAATGTAGCTCGAAATGTAAATTGCTACACAGATAACGAAGGGAATGCAGACAGTATGTATTTAAGCGAGTGGATTGGTCGAGTTCAGCCTTAAAGCTTGTCCGTGCTTCATATTAATACGTACTGCCTCAGGCCCACGCCTGTGGCACTGTGGGTTGTTACAGCCTTTTGGAGATTACCCGGTTTGGAAAGCCCCTTACTCAATTGTGATACAGGGACAATAGACATGTCCACTATTGACCTGACCTTGTGAACGAAGGGAGATTGAGTATCCACATTAGGGTGGCCCTCGGCGCGTGTCGTCGTGGTGCATGAAGCTTGAGCTGGCAGTCTGTACATACGAGGCACTGAGCAGAAGCTAGCACGATCAGAAAACTAAGGTACGATTGACGATTATCAATGACCAATACAATGAGCACAAGAGAGAGGAAGACCATGCTTCATTGGTACTTTATTAGACTCGCGTAACACTTTGCAGGTAGCTTTGAGGTTGGCCTCTTTGCTTTAGCTCTTAGATTGAGTTTGTTTTTCTAATTTGTGCTTTGAACTCGCATACGTGATATAGTATGAGCTCGCGCAAAAAGTTGCTCGTCACCAGAAGACATGCTGATTTTTAAAATCAAGGAGTACACAATAGACTTATTCTTCTTCTTGGGTTTGGCTTTGCGATAACTCGAAAAAAACTTGTGAATTCTATCTCGTGGGCAGACTCATCAGGGAGGCAATGATACTTGTATACCAATCCATCACACTGATGCAAAAGAATCCATTTCTACGGTCACCACAATCAGCCGCTATGGTGAAGCGTGTGAGTTAGTTGATTTCCATCGACAATAATGCAACTACCAACCATGGCAGCCTGAACAAGCCGAGTGAGATATAGCACTTCATTGTCGGGTTGTTGAAATAGAAGCTTCGACAGCGAGCGTGCTTTAATAGCGGATGCACAAAATAAAAGCATATCATAGGAATATGATTTGCACATCCACAATTATGAGGGGAGCTCTTGACCGGCCCTTGCTGCCTTTGTTCATCGCATTAGTCATGGCAAATACATCGATAGGAGGAGGAATACCTATTCATATGCGATGAACGTATAGCCTACAAACCAAGAAAGTATCATGTATGGTCCATATAAACTTTGTAGACGTCGAACTTACAAATGTACCCCATAACGACGGAAATCTGTGGAGTGCATATCTAGGAAGAATCATAAAGCTTGAGAGTTAAAACGTACTTCGACTGGGATAAACAAGCTGCAGGAATTTATCAATAGAGGCTACTCGGAGAGCTGAAGTAGGAACTTCCTTTGACGCTCCAGACAAGTTCTTGGAGCAGCGATGTTAGTGTAGTTGGTCACTAAACCATAATAGATTCCATGGACGATTGAAGGCCAAGTGCAGCGCAAAGTATCCAGCACAGCACGTGATATCAACATGCTCGATAATTGCAACTCGATGTGATGCCTAGCAAAGCCTAACAACCTAGAATAAATTGAAAAAGATAACAGAAAAGAGGGTAGCACACACGTACAACCAGGTTATAAAATGTCATCCTTTATGTATTTGAAAGTAGATGAAAGCTTCAACGTTTGTTACGTGCCCGACAGGAAACGTTCAGCTTTGTCTTTCGTCAATACACTGTTCTCAATTGGTAATGTACCCGCAGTGTTTTCCACAACCAGTACTAGTGACATTGACGGGTCGGTGTGCACCCGTACCCGTGGAGGGTATAGTGTAGGTGGGTGTGGGTCCGCTGTTAACTCTCCGAGCCTCGGTGTTATCCATGCAGTATCATCATGATGGTTCCGGTGGCAGTGCTGACGGTGGGGTGGGGAGGCATAGCCCCGCATGACAGTATGAAACAATCATTTGATATGATAAGGAACGTGCCACTATGCGGATGTTCTTGAATTCGACCAGATCATGATCGCTCGCGTAACCACATGATACATTAGATGCAGATTAGTCAAAGTAGCAGCAAAAAAAGGAAATGCAGGAGCTCATGGTAAATATGTCGACCATTGCAATTAATTGACAAGGGGGAGCGGTACCGGCGGTCACTGGCAGCGCTCCTAGAGGCTAGTATCGTATTTGAAGTGAGCGATCATGGTAACTGCCAATGGTAGCTTTGAAACATCACTGGGATTCCCTTCGCAGACCGTGCCGTACGGCCGTACGCGTAAGCCCTGATCGCATTCAGAAGCATTCTGAGTCTGTAACAAACGGTGCCATTTGAGTGATGTGGCAAGTGCGACAAGTCGCCGCAAGCTCAAACAAATGCTTACTAATCCTGTACCAAGTTCCAACGTTCCAACTACTTATGGCATCTTGTCTTCTGACTTCTCGTTGCTCACTTGTTTCTTGTTATCATTTGATCAAGGGAGACATCTAACCGAGAATGAGATTGAGCTTATGACAGATACTGGCATCGGTTGGAAGAACAAGACACACGTCGGTCCCAATCATTGGGACGCAGTCGTCGGGGAGAACGTTATTGGTTCTCACCAAAACGACTCGACAGACCTAAATTCTTTCGAAGTTGTTTCCGAGGATAAGGATATGTTGGAAGTACCGCCTTACCCATCTTCTTCCTAATTTTCAGACCACCAATCCGGAGTACTCGACGACGAGAAGATTCTCAAAATAGCAAGCACTCTCGGGGGGCTTATGCCAACTATGAAGCAAATAGTGTCTTATTTCATCAAGAACGGCCTCATAGTTCCATCTTCTATAGTCACTTAATTGGCACCTCCGAGCACAGCGCCTCACACTCCCATTTTCACTGTGAGTAACACCATCTGCGTCTCGGCGACATCTTCAGCATGCGAGATTCCCTGTTCACTCTTAATTTTTGCCAGGTCTAAGATCTATATACTGCTCACATTGCTCACCATTGTATCTCTCAGAAAGATTTACACCGACCCCTTGTGTGTGAAGATGAAGAAGGGGCTCGTCATGGACGATCCGAAGCAGACTGTAATGGATACGTCTTTCGGGTTCCCAGTCAAGACAAGCTATATATGAACGGCGTACGCTTGTGCTGCAGTGCATAGACTCCAGACAAGACATTGACGGATCGTGCATACTTGAGATAGATGTGTTCATGAGATGCGGTCGATATCAGGCTTCCTGGGTATGTCTCTGATCATCGCAGTTATAAAACGTCTGCGTCACTGATGACTGTTCATTCATACCGAAACTTACTTCAGATAAACTTCAGAATGTGTTTGAGGACCAATCTCGTCAATTCAAATACCCTCGGCACAATTATTTTCTAACAAGGTTGCAGCATCGGCGGTGTGAAGATATCATCGTCGCAAATTTGACTCCACCAATGTTGACTATGTACATACTTGAATCGAGAAACCAACTATCAGAACGGCAAGGATGGGAGTGAACTGATGCCTCTCCAGGCTCGTAGCACACTAGTATGATAATTTACCAAGAAGTCATTAGTTAAAATCATTGGCCAGTCCCACTCATCTCGCGAGATATGGAGACAATGATCCACGCAATTGATCCATCACGCTGAAGAGAGGGAATTCGTTCTCATCGTCACCTCGATCGGTCGCTGCGGCTAAAGCAAATCATTAGTTCTATTCCGCCGACAGTAGCGCAATCACTAACCATGACTGCCTGAACAGGTCGAGCAATATACAACACTTCATCATTGGGTCGGTCAAACATACTCTTCTGGGATGCCTGGAGTTCCTTGTCCTGTGACGCTCCAACGTGCAGTCTCGGGCGGTAGACGTCATGGCGCACATGGTATTCGGAAGAATACATTGCATCTACTTTGGGCTGCGCGTAGGATCCCGCGTTCATGAGTGCGATGAATGAGTTCACATATACTAAGATGATACCACGAGTCAGTATGATCCTCGTCGTTGAGGAATTCTTTGGCCATACGTTTAAGTAGTACAAATTTGACAGCTTCAAATATGTAGTTCCTCGGCATTACTGCGCACTGTAGACAGTCAGACAGAAGATGGTAAGAACAAAAGGTGTGAGCTTACTGTAATGATAGCCGCCATTGAACACATACTACACGAAATGAGTCAAGGTATGGGGTAGGCTGGAATTAGGAATACCTCGTCAGACAGCCTGTATTGATGATATAAATCAGGAGCTTTGATATGAATAAGTCCGTTCTGAGCACTATATATTAGCATCTCAGACCTGACAGTGTATAGCTCACCTCGGGAACCCAGTGCGGAATGTAGCGAGAAGATAACATAGCGATGATGCAATAAGAATATCGACAAAGGCAACAACGCCAAAATACGTGTATAATATCCACACGATTTTGATAAGATCGGTCATTACGTGAACTTCCTGATATCTACACGCCGTCAACACTTGGTTGGAGAGTCAGGTAGTATCTCACTTACATTAACCAAATAATGGCTTTGTCGTGTTAAATTGATGAATCAACAACAGTACCAAATAACTCTCACCGATGGAAACACCTGAAAGGATTCTCAGAGATCGTGCGAAGAGCATTACCAGGTGACAGGACTTACTTGAAGTGAGGACGACGACGACGCCCTGGTGGCGGATAGACAGAATGAAATATGAGGCTTGATCATGGACGTCGATAGCAAACCTACCACCGTGATTGGCAGAACCTTTGAACGGCCCTCGCTAACTAGGTTCACTGCATGAGTCATGATAAACCTGTTGATATGAGGAAATACCTGTCCATATGCGATAAACATATAAACTAGTACGGATCAAGAAAGCCGCATTGAGTGAATATTGCATATAACACTGTACATCGAGCTCACAGATGTTCCACAAAGATGCCGACAACCTGTGAAGTACATGTGTGAGGCAAAGCATAGGGCTTAGGATATACAACTTACGGCGACTGCTGACTGAAGCTGTACAAGCGCATCAATATGATACGTAGTAGAGGCTCACGGAGGAAGTAGTAACTCACTTTGGCACTCCATATGAATTCTGGGAGCGCACCAAAGTTCATGTAGTTGATTACTAAGTAAAAATAGATGGAATAGACGATCAGGGCCAGATGCAGAGCGTCAAGTATCCTAAAAGTTCGGGGTATAGTGTAATCTTGACGTGCTCGATAATTGCAACTCGAAAAGATGCCCACCAAAGCCATACGACCTAAAATAGCATCAATAACAGAACTGACAAGCAGGCAGCATAGACGCACGACCAGCTTGTAGAATGTTATCCCTGTATCACTATGCGTCTGAAAATATATGAAAGCTTGAACGTTGGTGACACCAAAGAGACTGTTCCACGAGAGGAAACATTCAACTTTAACTGGATAGTGAATGAACAGTTTACTTACATTGCTGCAAGGATAACTGCGATAAACAATGCACCAAATGTGTTGGCGAGGTGAAGATGTGGGATGAGGTCTTGCGTTGAAGTCATTGGTACTATTGACTAGGCCAAATCCACCAGTAACACAGCTGTTCCACCGTGTTATATATCGCCCAGCACGGAACAACGAGATTGGCATTTTTCCTGTGACAAATGATGCTGATGGTGGTGGTGCATCTTCTATGATGAGGATGAAACTGTCAGTGTAAGTTCATATTAGCCAGAGTGATGATCATGTGTATGATGATTCTCGGATTCAGTTCATCAGAAAGGATTACTTTTTTGGGTTGGTGCCAGTACCACACACATGGTGCTCATCAAGAAATCGATACATTACTTAATCATATGTAAAGCCTAACCGGCAGCTAACGATGATCAATGTCTTCATATCAAGGACCAATCACTGGTCCATGTGGCTCAGCGAAGCAACGGAGTAGTGGTAAAAAGCAAAGTCGAATAGGTGCAACAGATATAGACTGAATGGTGGTGTAAGTAGGTGGTCACTAGCTAGTATGATCGACCACTCACTTTCTCCACCGTCTAGTCTTGCAGCTTCAAGTTCTCTTTCGGATGAAAAAGATGACGGTGTACTGAATCTGATTGGAACACGATACTTTTACAGTTTTTTCGATCAACTAAATAGGCGGAGCATGATGGAGGTCAGGCTATTAATCGTACTAGGTTTGAAACTAGTAGTACCGTGACTAAGGTGGGCGCGGGCGGCCGCCCGTGGCTGTGGAAAGCATCAGAAGAGTGCACACGTTGCAGCTTGCTGCACGCATGATAGCCTCACGGAGATAAGACCACTCCACTCTCTTCTTGAGTCTGCGGAACGAACTACAAGAAGCCAGTTGTAAACCGGTATGCAGCAATCATTTTTTTTTGGATTGGGCCGTGATCACTTTGCTGAAACCATAGCATCATTAACTCTGACCACGAAAACTGCTCGACGTTCAAACGTTCAACTATTGATATCAATGTTTGAAACAATCCAGGCTGGTACCGACGATGTCTGCCTCCAAATTCAGGTCCATCATGATAGCAATGATGGCATTATTTCATTCAAGTCCAGCCTGAGATTTCATGTTCTCGCAGGAGTCCTGGAACCCTGAAGCATTCCTCGACCAAAACACTCTTGGCCGGACAATACATTCTAATCTCAAGGACCCCCGGTGCCATTTTGCATCTCCCCCTTCGCAATCCTTATGAACATATCTTCAGGGTAATGATGAATGCTTGCCTTCATAAAAAGGGCATCGACAAGAATGACCGTTATAGGTGGAATACGAACAGAACACGACATCTCCCTCCAGCATGTGTGCGTATACGACGATTCCGAAGTTCCCGGCTCGAATCCAACGTCGTCCTGCCCAAAGGAGCGAGGATCTACTGACACATCGAACTTGAAACATTAACTGCTTACACTCGACGGACTGATAGTTTACATTCACAGGAAACCGAAAATTTTGGTATTCTGTCTCATGACCAGATGGACGGATAATTCATTTACATGTCTATGAAAGACTCCTTCTGCACCGTCACCAAAATCGACCGGTGTGGCTGGAGCGTGTCATTAGTTCCTATATGACACTATAGTAACATAACTACTGACCATGGCAACTCCCAAGGGTCGAGTGGGAGGTGTCACTTCAACTTCGGGATGAGCGAGCATGCTCCTCCGAAATGATGGTAATTTCTCCTGCGACAGGTCGTGCAGCCCGGGATTGGTGTCAGTGGAGTCTCTCTGGGGCTCACGAAGTTCGAAAGAATTGATGGCACCTGCGTTGAATGATTGCGTGTAGTATCCCACGTTCAGAAGTGCGATGTACGAGTTGACGTAGACTTTAGATGAATCTACTGGTCAGCACGATCCTCGGAGAATGTATTGTTTCGTACGTTTGGCTACTATAAATTGAAAGCTGAAGAAGACGAAGCTGTATGGCATCACTGCGCACTGTAGGTGACCTGAGACCCGAAATGGAGGGTACAACGATTGGAATCTTACTATGATGATAGATGTCAATGCAGATATACTGGATGAAAGATAAGTCTAGGTATGGGATGAGCTGGAAGAATCGTTACCTCGTCAGACAACCACTATTGATGGTATAAAAAATGAGCTTTGTGATCAAGCAATCCGTGCTAAAATAATCTGGTAGAATATCAGATCCTTAGAGTGAACGGAGTACTCCTTACTCAGAGCACCCAGTGCGGGATTTAGCGAGGAGATACCATAGCGAGGATGTAATGAGCACATCGAGGAAAGTAGCTACGCCGAAAGCCATGAAAACGGTCCACCGGGTCAAAAACATTCCAGTCGAAATATTGTGATTATATCTGTTCACCATCAGTACTTCACTGTGTTAAGAATAACTATGTCTACTCACAACACCCAAATCAGAACTGATCGGGTTAAAATGAGCCAACGCCAAGAGTAAGTACCGTTAAACACTCACAGCTGGCAACACCTGAAGGATTTTTCAAAATTAAAGTGAAGGGCATTTCCATTGACAAGCTGAGCTTACCTGAACCTAGAACGATGACTATGCCCTAAACAACAAAATGAGATGACAAGACTAGAATGCGACTTTCGATGGCAAACGCACCGGTATTGCACGAAAAATTCTTGCGCGATCTCTGCCAACTAGATTCACCACATCAGTCGTGTCAAACGCATTTGTAGTGAAAAAATACCTATCCATATACGGTGACAATACAGCCTATAAACCAAGAATGACTTAGTAGAGTGTTGCATACACAGTGCACGTCAAATTCACATATGTATCACACTGACGATGAGAATCTGCGGGTGCATGTCTGAGACGAACCACAGAGCTTATGAAATGATTTACGTTGAACACAATCTGAAGCTGCACAAATCCAATCAACACTATAGCAGGAGTTGCACGAAAGCCCCAAGTAAGAACTCACTCTAAAACTCCATACAACCTCTCTGAGCGTATGGAATTTTGCGAGGTTGGTCACCAAATAAAAATAGACGCAATGGATGACCAACGTCGTATGCGTAGCATCGAGTATCCTAAACCATCTTGACGTGCTTGCCAATGCAACTCAAAGGGACACCTACCAAAGCAACAAGACCTGATATAGCGTCAAGAACTGAACTGAACTGAATAGAAGACACGCCCAGACGTACGATGAGCCTATAAAATCTTGTCCATCTACCAGCATGCGTCCGAAAGTAGATAAAAGCTTGAATGCTAGTTAGACCAAACAGCCTGATCCGTGAGGTATGGTACGACAACGGGAAGCGCTCAGCTTTATCTGCGTAGTGAGCAAATGATTTTTACTAACGATACTGTGAGGATAGACCCAATAAAAAATGCTCCGTAAATGCCCCTGGGGTCAGTGGGGATTGGTTGCGGTGGGACCTGCGTTGAGGAGGACATTCATGGATATCGCCGGCTGAATCAAATCCGACAACAACTGTATATATTCCACACGCACGAGGCGAGTAACACTTTGCCATCTGTAATGTGATGGTTCTCAGGCTGGTGCTGGCAGTTCACGATACATTCGTTGGAACACGTAAGGAGCATGCAGAATGAAACAGACCGAGTTATTAGGACTATTGCTTTATCCGACAGGATCGCCAGCGTACATGCGAAGAAAGACAGAACTTTCGAACAGTCATGGGGTGCTTCCGGCACTTGGGAAGTGCTACCATGCAACAGCAGAAACCTTGCTTGACATGCTTAATAGGAACCATGGCTTACAATATTTGTTTGCTGAGATCCTGCATATGCAAGTCAGCGTAGTATATAGGTACTCTTGTCCGGATAAACTTTTCACCTTTATCTGTATCACGTCATACACCTCTTGGCGGACATCTGCATTGAATATTGTGCCGTGCCTAGCTGAAGTCATAGGGTGCTTCCGATACTTGCGAAGTGCTACCATGCAACAGCAGAAACCTTGTTTGACATGTTTAATAGGAACCATGGCTTACGATGTCTGTAAATCAGCGTAGTATATAGGTACTCTTGTCCGGATAAACAAACCCACGTTTTTCACCTTTATCTGTATCCCCGAGGAACTGGGGACAGAAGCGTGCAGCGAAGAGATTACCACCTGCATACTAAAGTCCTTTGTCAAGAGAACAAGCGTTAGCGTACCTATGTTGTACTAGGATCAAATAAAAACAGGAATCACATCCAGGTGGCCTCCAGACCACTGCACCTCCACCGTCGAAGATCATGGACGGCATCCACAATGCGACTTGTTTGCATAATTATGATATTCAAGGAGCTGACGCCGTTGCGTGAGGGCGTGCGATCAGACTCATAGAACGTGGGAAGACATACACAGTCGCGACCAATTCAGAGACGAGAAGTGGCAACTCTCACATTTAGACTTGATGAGGACCTTCCTGCTGGCAAGATAAGAGTCCAAGTGACGAAATTGAACGCAAGGCCGCCTTGTCAGACGTGACGAACTTTCCGCAATTCCAATCTGATTAGATGCCCACCTGATGAGACGAAGTGGTGAGTTTCGGGCCTCGTCACAGGATAAGTCAAAATGTGCAACAGGTATTACGCGGGAAATTCCGTAGGGTTGATGAAGGAATAACAACGTAGGATGATATAGAATGATAGAATGTCCTGCCCAACATAAACCAGTCAAATCAACAGGGAACTCCACACCTTATGGCCTAGCGAATAACAGCAGTGATCGAGAAACCCTGGACGAGCATAATTCAAAACGCGTTTTTAGTCAAGTCCAGATATATCATGTCCTGTGTGGAGCATCCTGCACGGACATTTCGAGTGCTGTCGCAGCAGATGATTTGTATTCGCTTGAATGAATAATGGAGCCGAGAATTCAAGGATCTCTGTAGGTAGATTCTAGTTGACAGTGCATCCATTCATACTTCCTACGATCCAACAGGCATGCCAGCAATAGAACCTAGATATGACGATGTTTCTACAACAAATCAACTTGCAGATGGATAAAGCATCCGCTCCGAGTCAATAAGCCTTCTACAGGGTGTAGAACTCTAGGCGAGACGCAGTTAGAGTTCAACGAGAGTCTAGCTAATGGACTGATTGACAGTCTGGCACAAACTCCGGGGGTATGGTCTTTGGGTAATTGTCTAGCCGCTCGGCTCAATTCTGTCGGAGATTTCATTCATGGCTGGCACATTAATATTGCGCATACCTTCGTGAGGGCTCCTTCGTGAGGGCTACATTGTCGACCTCGATGCTGTCAGCTACAAGTTGACCACGTTATGTCGCGAGGGCAGCGGATGACAGGCACAAAAGACACGGGGGAGGGAGGAGGAACGTTGAGAAGAGGGTCTGTGTACAGCAAGTGTACAGCGTCAGCTGGCATCTGGCATCACTGATGGAAGAGCTGATGGCACTTACTAAAATAAAACTCAAACCATTGTGTTGGTCCATGTGGGAAAATGACGATTTGTAATGAATCATTACGTAATATTAATCATCTGTGTTATCATTTCCTCGTCCTCGGGGATCTAACGCGGTCGTGCTGCCTTGGTAGATCTTGACGCGTCTTGTAGCTCAAGTCGAATCTCGTCCGCGTTGTGGTCCTTCACGTGCATAGTTTGAGACCTGATGCGATAGATCATTAAAGTCGTGTTACACAACCATTCACTGCTCTTCAAAATCTCCACATGGTCTCATGGGTATTTTTATTAGTCCAGGTCTTCATCTGATATATCGATAACCCTTTTCGGCCAGAAGTTCGAATCGACGTTCGCAACGAGTCAACGACACGGTACTAACAACGTTCTTCAATTTCTTTACCTGCTCAACCGGGATTTCCCATAATTTTAGCTCCAAGGCTGATGTCGAAAGCACTCCCCGCTAGGAGGACCTAACCATCATGTTCTCATAAGCTATATCAGTGGCCAGTTCTCAAGCTGCTTCAACCTTTACTGCAGTGTTGACTCATACCGAAGAAACCGTGACGTCCGAGATGGTGCTCTTTACGTGATCCACCGTTCGAACGTTCAGTATTCGATCCAAGTTAAAAGCGCTAACCGGGTCGAAAGTCGGCAACGCTTGATCAGTCAGGCTAATGTCCAATTTCCGGTTATCATCATCACGTGTATGTCATTTAAGAGTCACCAATCACTGTTTGCTTTTGACCTCTGTTTTCTCGCTCATATCTTTGATCCATGCAACAGCAGGAAAGGCCCCCAGCGTCAACCCTCTCCTTGAAGAGCCTCCTAACATTTCCTGTGCGTCAAACACCTACTTGAGTAGAAGCAATACCTCACAACTTGGTTATCTATCTAGAACCGAATCTGCAACCCACCCCCATCTGTTGGCAAAGTACGGTCGTGTGGGGTGACACCATTCCCGGAAGTTCATCTTGACGATGTACTCGAACGCAAGCACCTTCCGCCTCTTGGTCTCAAGGATTTCGAAGAATATCTTCTCTATGTCGAGCAATCACCAGAAAATCTCTACTTTTTGCTATGGCTCAAGGAGTATACCACCCGTTACCTCATCTGGTCCCAGCGTACCAAAGCCATGAGTGCTCCAACTCCCCCTGATACTTCAACACGACAAGCCTTTCTCCCTTCATCGCTGTCAGACCCCTCGCTTGCTCTTTTTTATGCAAAAGCAAAACAGACCTTTTTCACCCCTGGCGCCGAGTACGAACTCGATGTCCCTTCAGATATCCTTGCTCCGTTTCATTGTTCATCTCAAAACTTTGTATCTTCTACAAGAGTTCGCGGGGCAGCCATTTCAAACCCACCAAGCGCCCACCCAGATCCTGCAGTGTTCATAGAGGTGGCATTAGAGACACGCGCTATGCTCAAAGAGTCCCTTTCGCGCTTTGTTCGTGCAGCTTCTACCAATGTTGGCTCACGCAGAGCAGCATGTGGCATTGCTGCCGGGATGATATGTTTATGTATTGCTGGAATATTACCTCTTGTACTGACATCTGGTGGCTGGGTGAGTGCCCCTCACGGACGGTGGTGGAGGTTATCAGCATTCCCCGGCATGTGGCTTGGTCTGGCGTTGTTATTCTCTAGCTTCAACGGAGTGAGTGAACCTCGTCCCTCCAAGTGATCGTGCGTGAGGTAACTCCCCTGTTTATAGATTTGTCTCATGGTGTATGTCTTTGGCGACCTGAGACAACTTCGAAAATTTGAGCTCGCTAGGCCAGCTATTTCAAGGCCGCTACCTTCCCCTGCCCCTGCGGTCACATCAATATCAGCACCGTTACCTCACCCGCCAGCGCCTAGCGAGAGGCCTACCATCGTAATATCCAAACACCACGACAGGCAGTACAATCCAGAATTCTGCTCCTCTAGGTCCTTCCAATCCGCACCATACTCCCTTTCTGCTGAAGGACGCTCATTTTCGCAAGCCTCGGAGTCGTATTCTGACACCGAACTATCCGGATCTTCAGAAGACGAAAATTCTTCTTCTTCATCCGAGTCACCAGAGATTGAAATTTCTCCTGCCTACTTCGATGATGTGCCTGCACCTGAGGGTCCAGCGACAGCCACAGGCTTGTATCGATCTCATTACCGTTCTGCGCAACCATCATCTATCGCGTTCCCTTCCATGGCACATACTCGGCAGCGCCCAAACCCTGTTACATTTCTCTCACCTCTTGAATGTCACGCTTCCAGCGGGAATGCCGTACACAGTTCGGCTGTCAAGCCACATACCCTAGATGATTCTAGTTCCTTCGGTCCCAGCGCGGCGTTCATTCGTCATGAGGTAGACCTCGATGCGGAAGACGGTCTAAAAGAGCGCGTCTACACAGGACTAGACACGAAAGAGTGTTTTGACTTCGATCTTCTTCCAAAGTCTGTCAAGGGAAATGCGATCCTTGCAGATAACATTCGTCTCCCGAGCAATGCTTCCCCACCTGTCACTGTCACCATCGCAGGGCAGACTCCAACGCTATCTCTCGAAACTGGAAATACTGCTCCTTCAAACAATCTCCTCAGTTCTACCATCGCCCGCCAGCAGTACAAATGCAAGCGCACATACGCACCTCCGTTATCACTCGTTTCACAAACTTCTTCAATTCAATCGCCCAATTCGTACACACCATCACCGACGCCGAGCTCTAATCGCTCTCCCATCGTCTCCTTCATGATTCCCTCTTTCACTGCGGGCGTTCCTGCTTTCAAGGCACCGATGACGCGTGTGCGGTCGCCCGTGGTGATCCGAGCTCAATGGGAAGTTGTCATTCGCTCCGCCGTCTTCGGATTGATTTGCGCTGTAACATGCGTCGCCATTTTTATCGGTGTTGTTCCGTGACATTTCGTGCGCTGTACAGTCATAGCCAGGAACGTTGCCTTGTACTTTAGTTTGCAGCTTTTCATCTTCTGCATGATCATGTTTCCCGAACGGCCCGTGACTCACTTGTCTCGTTCTCTCCAGTAGTACTTATTGCATTTTCTGACGCTCCTTTCCCATGCTTGCTGTCCTCAACTTTATTGCTGCTGATTAATCCTCACTCAAAATACCTGTATGCATTTGAGATATCCTTGTTGTACTCTGATACTTATTCTTGACCTACGAGTTGCCTGTGATCAAGGGCAAAAATTAAATAGCAGCCTCAGAAGTGATCGGCGGTGGTGCGATAGCCCTATGCAAACCATATAGGCGAATAAAGTTATTCCTCCCTTTCTATGCGATAGACACGATCTTGATCTGCTCATGTTTTTGTGACAATACGTGACGACTTAATTGTGCATTCAGGGACTGATCTGGAGATGTTTTTCATTATACTGTGTCTTAGAACACGCGCACCACAGTCAGGAAGCCGAATAAGTGAAACATGGGATGAAATGCCGGGTGTTCAACTGGTGCATCCGCGAGGTGAATGATGAATCGAACCATAGCAGTATCGACTGCGCATCGCGAAACGGCAGCACGCCCAACACGGGCCCGCACGACGAATACAACAAAGCCCGCTGACTCGAAGCAAGCTGGTGAGGATGTGAGCAAGGGTAGCACCTGCTCACGTTTTCACTAGCTTGCTTCTTTGTGCTGTCAGTGGCTCGGATGCCTACAAGTGCATCAAGTGCACGTGGTGATGTCTGTTACATTGTACAAGTGGGTCTCAAGGATGTGTACATCGGAGGTTGCAATTGCGACGACTGCGTGCACTGTGCAGAGTACAAGGAAGGAGCGAGAGCGAGCTCAGAGGATGTAAGAGAGAAGGTATAGAAGCTTTGGACGTCGGTGGCTACAAAATTATGTTAGCACGCACTCGTTCTGTCACAACACTATTGGCAGCCTGACTGTGATGTTGCCTCACAGCTTGAGAGGAGAAGCTGGCCGTGACCTGTAGTACCCATACAGACCGCATCTGAACGTACAAGACACAATTCACGTCTCACCATTTTGGAACTTTTCCTCAATTTCAGAATTACCCGCTTTGTAGAGAAAAACTGGTCGACCGTAGAATGCCTGATCATCATGACGAATATTTGGAGAGGACGCGATGAGTAGTGCATGACTTGGAGGAGATTTTTCTAATTTCGGAGTACCATGCGGGGTTTGAAATTTCAAAATTTGAAATATGGTTTGCTAACTTTGCTTTCAACTTGAAGGGAAATTCTCGAGTCCAGTCGTCAACAAACATGTGCTATGCTAGCCTTGTGAATGTCTCCGTGCACATGTCTCCGTGCATAAATATTCTGACAAGACCAGCGCGCGGTTCTCCATTCTGCATCCAAATCGGTAGTGGCATCACTGCATCTCAAGAGCTGACTCGAAATTGCTCACCTGTGGCAAGCGTAAAAGTCCTACATAGCCAGATGCGCAGGGTGTGGGTTCTTGACTGTCACAGCTTGTCTGTATACGCTCTTGTGATTCCATTGTTCGACTCTTATGACCTATCGGCGGTGAACAGACTTCACTATGATGAGTCCTTTACGGTCGCTTCAGCCGCATTTGCACAATTCAATATTGGTATAGCATTTGATCGTTATGACTCTCTCGTCCGTCAGCAAGGCTGCCAAGTCTCCTTCCAAAATTCGGCATGGAGACACCTGGTGCACAGTCGGGTGGCGACCTCCAAGATCCCGACAAACGAAGCATATCTCGCGACAACCAGGCCCCAATACTAGCTACGCCTCTTTAACTGTTCAACAGGCACCTATTGGCGATGCGTCGGATGACGACTTCCTGTCTGAGTTCATTTTAGGACAAGCCAATTCTATTTGGAGTCATCATACGGGTCTTCAATCCTCGAAGAGACATCTTCGCTCTGAATACCGCTGCCACAATACCTTTTTTACTTCAAATGACACAGCTCAGTACAATTCCGGATGTTACTATCCGGAAGAATCCCTCCTGCGTGATGTTGCAATGGAAGGCGCAACATTGACTCAGTGTCTCACCAGTACTCTGTATGTCGGTCCTATGCAACGCCGAAATCCTCATCCCGACCACTGTTTTTCTCAGGTCTGTGTCATGAAATGTACTTGTTTTTGCCTGCGAGCTAATCTGACTCGTACTTTTTATTTTGCTGATGTCAGTTTGATCAGGCAATCCTGTGATAGGCCGCATGAGCAATGACCATTTCTCAGTCCTGTAGCAAGCTAATGTGTGTTTCTTGGTATGTCATACTTGCACGCTCTGCTCTGGGATTATTATGCGCTCTTACAAGACACTACATTCTTGTTTTTCCTTCTACATCGCACATCGATAGTGTAAGGTGATTCCTACCAGTCCGACTCTCTCGCATCAACTCTCCGAGTTTATCTCGAATTTCCGTGACAACTTATCACTTGCACTGCTATGGAACACCTGGTTCAGTGGGCTTTTCTGGCCGTCTGAGTCATTTTATGTTGTGTCCGAGTCGTGGTTTTATCGATGGTACATCGTCATTCTTCAATGCGTCGGCCGATAGTTTCTAAATCCCGGAGCAGTACAACATCGAGATTCAGATGTTCGGAGCACTGCGTAACTGTTTGCGGCGGCATTAATCATCAATCGATGTAACGACTGCTTTGAATTGGGAAACATTCGAGGTTATATACCGCTGAAAGATAAAAGCTACGAAGAGGCATGTGTCCAACTTATCCTACATCCCAGTATTATCTCAGCGAGAGCATTCACCTATCGTGAATAGTCACGATGTTTATTCTTATTCTAATCGCTTCTATTATATCATTGATTAATGCTGCAGCCATAGTTTCTCGCTCGCAGTCTTACCCATCATCATCTCAACTCGCTGTACTCGGTCCCAAAACTAGATTGACCATAGGTAATAAGGTCATCGCTCCCGATGGCTTCGAACGCTCGTGAGTCTATCGCCACGACACTCAAAGCTCACTCCTGATCTTTAACAGAGCAACTCTTGTCAATGGTGTATTCCCTGGACCCTTGATTGCAGCCCAGAAGGTTCATTTCTGTCGACCTTGTCGTGCACTAATACTGACCTCACAATAGGGAGATGACTTTGCCATTGAAGTAGTCAACGAACTCCAGGACGAGTCGATGTTCATGAGTACCAGTGTCGTAAGCAACGCCAAATTATCGACTTTATCAATGATTAATCTTGTTTACCGCAGCACTGGCATGGTCTTTACCAGAACGGAACGAACTATGCCGATGGGGCGTCCTCCGTCACACAATGCCCTATTGCGCAGAATCACTCCTTTCTACACACTTTCTCCGCCCCGAATCAAGCAGGCACTTACTGGTATCACAGTCATTATTCCGTCCAATATGTAAGTATCGCTTGAACTTTGCACATACAACGAGGTACTGACCTGTGGAACAGTGTGATGGTCTAAGGGGCCCCCTGGTAATCTATGATCCTCATGACCCTTTAGCACATATGTACGACATCGATGATGGTGAGTGTACAATCGGTTTATATTAACGCCCTCTGACCGTCATGTGTTGCCAGCAAGTACCGTGGTCACACTTTCAGACTGGTGAGTTTTACGAGTATTGATAGTCTTCCCGACTAAAGTAGTATCACTAGGTACCATACTGTGGCCACTGTCTTGCGCTACGTCATAGGCAATACTGCCAGCTCTTCGCTTATCAATGGACTCGGTCGATATGCTGGCGGACCCATGTCTGCTCTTGCTGTGATCACCGTCGAGCAAGGAAAGCGTTATCGCATGCGCCTGATTTCAATGTCATGCGATCCCAACTTCCAGTTCTCCGTCGATGGCCACAACCTAACCATCATCGAAGCAGATGGAGAGCTGACTGAACCTCTGGTGGTAGATCAGCTCCAGATTTTTGCGGGTCAGCGCTACTCTGTAGTTCTGGTAGCCGACAAACCAGTGGATAATTACTGGATACGCAATCTTCCTAATACAGCGAATGCTTCCTACGAGGAAGGAACGAACTCTGCTATCCTGCGCTACAAAGGCGCCCGCGAGGTCGAACCGGCTACCGTTAATACCGCACCCAAAAACCCATTGGCAGAGACCAACTTGCATGCTCTGATCAATCCTGGTGCTCCTGGCATTCCAGAGTATGGGAAAGCAGATATCAACCTCAACCTGAAAGTTTCTGTCGTCGATGGAATCTTCTATGTTAATAACGTCACATTCAAACCTCCCACTGTTCCTGTTCTACTTCAAATTCTCAGTGGAGCTCAAGAACCGTCTCAGCTGCTCTCAAATGGGAGTGTCATCATTCTCGAAGCTAACAAAGTGGTAGAGCTGACGTTGTCAACAACTGGACTAGCTGTACCCGTATGTCTTTTCCATTCCTTCCACGTATGTATGACTGATATATATCTTACCAGCATCCCATGCACCTTCACGGGGTAAGTTTCCCATGACTTCGATGGCATGTCACGTCAAGTACTAATACGATCATTAGCATTCCTTTGATGTCATACAGAGCGCGGGTAACAGTACCCTCAATTACATTAACCCAGTCCGTCGCGATGTAGTAAGCACCGGCGTCCCTGGACAGCAAGTGGTGATACGATGGGTGACCGACAATTCTGGCCCTTGGTTCTTGCATTGGTATGTCATCATGTTTAATGAACTATCAAGAAGGATACTAACTCTGAATCAAAAGTCACATCGACTGGCATCTTGAAGCGTATGTGTGAATGTCCTCGTGAAAGCAATCGCTAACCTTTCGCATCTAGCGGTCTTGCCGTGGTAATGGCGGAAAGTCCCTCAGATACCCGTGCCCATCTGAACCACGCGCCACGTAGGTCATGCATGAAAAACCTGAAATTCTATGACTGAACTGCTTGACAGATGCATGGGATCAGTTATGTCCGACCTTTGACTCTCTAACACCCTCGCAGTTGGGGGGTGGAGGTCTCAAGTCCTACGAAGAAGCAACTAATATTTCCACTCTCCTTTACCCACCACCGCCGCTCCCTTCAGCGACGTCCTAATGATTTTTGTTTACTACATAATGTTTGCAGCTGACTCAACATAAGATATGACGATTAGCCTTAGTTATTTACATAATTCGGTAGCGCGAGGAAATAATGCTTTTTGCTTGTCAAGTCAGAATTCGAGAGCGACCATCGCCTTATGAGTGCATCAACTGATAATATAATGCATCTATATGCCTATTTGGCGTCTGTCGGCGGCTTGATTCATAGTACGGACTCGGCTGTACGTTTGCTGCTCAACACTTCAATGGTTTTTAATGGACACGGCACATGAAAAACCATCTCATCTCGAGTTCTTGTGTATTATGATTTCTTTGGTGTCTCTTGCTAGTCCGCTTAATGAACGAGCGATAGCAAATAACGACGTATGTGGAGTCATGCAGGAGGCATCACCTGAGTGCTCATAGTGGTGCAGTATCAGCCAATATCTAATCTTTAGAAAATATTGTCACTATCCACGGAGAAAGAACCCGTAATGAGATTGATGAAAAAGGCCTCCACAGCATGTCTTGATTCCTGTCAAATCATACTGTGTCTTAGAACCTGCTTCTCAGTACTGGTGCAGACAAGCGTAAGCCCTACTCTTATACGTCGCATCTTTCCATATATACACACGACTGTTAGAGTTCAAAAATTTAATGCAGCACCGTGACTACTTCAGAAGCCTGAGAGGACTGCGTCCGAACCCTCGGAGCATCGATTGAGCATTGTAGATGGGAGGCCTGCAGTCCAGAGGTCTTTGTGATGCTTCTGCAAGCCTGACATTGGTTGTATGAGGTCGCGTTTGTTACCAACAGAATCAATGAGTTCGAAGATATACTGGAGAAGTGGGGGATGCAGCAGATATTTTGGAATACGACATTTGGTTACGGCATGGTGCACAGCCTGCCAACATGCTGAAGATTTGGCAGCATCGGGTTGGAATACACAGACTTCTAGAAACATGTGATATGGAGAGAGATGTTTCCCATCAAACTTTCTCACCGCCACCGAAGTAGTAGTTCATCAGATGTGGGATACACCTGGCAGACATGGGCGCTTCGTCTACACAGCAATTAAGGAGCACAGGATGTCATATCGAACGTACCTGAAAATACACGTGAACAAGCAGTGCCAACTTCCTCAACTTGAATTCAAACGCCCACTGTTGTCTAGTAATTTGAACGCGCTAAACGGTGCTCCTCGTCAGTGATACTCTAGGGTCTTTTGCAATATATCCACCTGCTTACCAGTGACTTTGGATACTCACTAATATCTTTGTGCGTTGTCCAAAACGCAACTCTTATATACACAGTGCCAAAGTTGGAGGACCGGATTCCGATAAGCAGGGTGTCTGGTGAGCAATGGTGTGTGCGTTTATATCAGCGAGAGCTAAAGTTTAAAAAGATAGGCAGGTCGACTCACCAGGAATATTTGCCGTCGCCAGATAACTCGTTTTCATTCAAAGATCCTGGGGAGCTTCTCTCGCGTAGATCTGCTATACTCGACACGTCCCTCGCGCCGACCATGTCAGTCCCGACGAATAAGAAGCAAACGACGCCAGCGGTCACACCCCGTCACGTCAAACTATGCGAGGCCATACTGACAGGATGTAGAAGAAGATATGCACAACATGGCATTGTCTCCTAGTGGCAAGACTGTTATTGTCAGCGGAAGTTATGATGGGAAAATGAAGTTGTGGGATGTCGAGACAGGAAAGGTGGTCGCAAGATGGTCAGGGCACACTGAACTTGTGACATCAGTGTGTTGGAGTGCGGATGGTAAGCGAGTGCTGAGCGGATCCTGGGACGGGACAGCAAGAATCTGGGATGTCAAGAACGGAAAAACAATCAAGACAATCCAAACCGGGCACTTCGATGTGTACACGGCGATATACTCGCCCGATCATACACAAATTGGGACAGGAGGATTCAACGAAGATGCAGTCAAAATCTGGGATGGAAATACGGGCGAACTGCTCGCTACACTCAAACATGAGTCCATAGTTTTCAACTTGGCTTGGACGTCAGATGGAAAGAAACTTATCTCCGCGGGATACGGCCCGATTAGGATACATGACACAACCACTTGGCAACAGATCGCCATTTTGGAGGGTCACACATACTGGGTTAACATCATCACTCTGTTCCAGAACGACCGCCTCCTTGTGAGTGCATCAGATGAAAACACAGTGCGTCTATGGAATCTCGACACAAACCTCCCAGTCGGTCCACCCCTCCAGCACGATCATCGATTGAGTTGCGCAGCCCTTTCCGCTGATGGAAAACTGTTGGTTACCGGTAGCGAGGACAAAAATGCATACGTATGGGACATTCACGCCATCCTCAAAGACGCTGGCCTTGAGGACCTACTATTCATTCCTCATGTGAGTCCATACATCGTGCTTTTCAAACCACACTAATCTCTCACTTGCAGGTCCCAACTCAAAAGCTGTTAAAGGACGTACGTGACGTATTTCTTCACCCTGTCCAACCATCTCAAGATCAAATTCTAGACTGATGCTACCAGACGTCCACCTATTCAGGCCCGCCGGATACCACCAGGTTTTTTCGAAGACACCCAGGTGAGTCCTCCACCTTTTTTGACAAGCTCTTTTTCTGACCTTTCTCAGTTCTCTACAGCACGTGGCACCCATACTCTCTCTCCTGTGCACAATCCTCGCAGTTCTCGCCCATCCTTATCTGCCATTCCACGTGCTCTTCTCGAACAACTTTCGTCATTCTTCCACTCCTCTCACTCCAATGCCGATGGAGAAACCGAACTTTGGCGACGCCCAATGCGCTCCATGTTCTCTCGCGGTCCTCGTATCGTCGAAGTTGCTACAGTACAGGACAGAAAGGTATTTCTTTCTCGTCGTCCATTTCCTATCGCCGTGGTTCAACTATATCTGTCCAGGCATTGTATGTTGCTCCGCGGCCACGGCCGCAGCAGCAAAGGCAGTTGCACGCCCAGAGCTCGTCATCTCAATCTAAGCCTATCGCTACCTCTACCTCCAACACACCTGCTCAAGGCAATAGCACTGCCGCATCAGGTGCAGCAACCACCCAGTCACCACACATTCCATTGTGGGCTCGTTTCGTACTGTTTCTCTGCTGCGCATCTCCCCCGCACGCCAATGGTCATTAATACAGGAGAAGCATATCATGTACAATCGTTTTATTCTTCACGTCTTCCGCTATTCCATCAATTTTTTTTCTTCATCGTGAGACTCGCGCAATGCATCGAGCTCGATCGTGCTAATCGTCGCGAGAGCACCATTATACTCAGAGGATAAGAGGCCACTCAGAGCAAGCCTCGATCTCAACAATAATATACAAGCAATCTTCTTCGGGGGGAGGCTAATAGTGGACCATACACGACATTATTGAGAGAGGAAGTGTAACCATTATCGATGTTTGCGCAGTCTTTTCCTCTGTCGGAACCGAAACATCACTTTCGTACAGGGCCGCATAATTATCCGTGTGCGACTGCAGTAACCGGCCATACATACCAGCAGTTTTTGTTCATGATGTTGAGCGTTTGGGATTATATCTATTTATTTACAGGCGCTGATACCATTATCCAGATTCCAGAAACAACTATATTGGTCAAGTCAGCCACGAGTTGCGTATTGTGCCATCAACAATGACGCCAACGGCCCAATGCGAAATCAGAAACACGACTCACTGTTCAGTTATGCTATTCATCCAATGGTAGCCACATCCTCAATGCAGTACCACAGACCTGCAATCTATTGTCATTACAAGGTGAGTAATGGGGTTCAATCCTGGAGGCAAACTGAACTGCTTATACTCACATTCCATCTGCATTGAAAGCCTTTGCAGCAGTCGCTGTCTAGGTTGCAACGCTGTCTCAGTGTGCCGCACGCACTGACAGACATGCATGCCGTTAAAGCAGTAAGGACGGCGACGAAAGAGAAACGCATGATTTATGCAAAGTTATACGAGCTTTGTAACGAGGAATATCGACTGAGGGGAGGGGTACACTAAACACGGCTTGTTTTTATGTCGTGAAAATAGTGTTGTGGGAAAAACATTGGTTTGGAAGTTTGCTTGCACCTGGTGATTCGTGAATGGAGAACCTTGGGGATTCAACGTTCAGTAGATTGGTTGCTCCCGGAATGACAGAACTTGGTAGGGAAGATTATAGAAATTTAACTATTTGGCTTGGCAGATCGGTTGCGCCCGGTAAACGTTAACAACGAGTGACGAGTCCCCTGGAACATCATGCGTCATTATTGAGGATGTCGGAAGTATATATTAGCCCCACTCAATTTAATTTTATTTCGCCCATTTTATTTTATTGCAAGTGATATATATACAAGTGACAGACAGTGAGAAATAAAATGAGTTCTAATTGAGGTCGACCATTTTATTTAATTTCTGAAAGTACAGTGGTGCGTGCTGAGATTAGAATTATAATGTGCCGAGGCGACACATTGAGCGACGCAGCCTGAAGCTTGAAGCTTGAAGTCTCGAAGTCCAACGCCAACAGTCATGGATGATGGATTCCAGTAGACATTCCCCACCGAGAACACATACCCAGGAGTGCCGGATGTGTTCGAGCAAGTGCCCATGCTTCATGAACATGCGCGGCCTCCTCCAAACACAGATTATGATGCGCTACACACCCCTTCCTTCAATCAATATAACGGGACCCTCATCCAGCATGCTGACACTCACCAGATACCCCGCCCCACCACACCAGTCTGAGATTTGGAGACCAGTAGCATCCCTGCGCTCGCATTGTTGAAACTCCACAATGACGAGCATACCTAGAATCCAATAGTGGTACTCAGAGTAGAAATTAAAACCTCGCTAAAGCTCGCTAACTTCCGGCTAGAGTTTGACAAAACTCGGGTAAGGCCTGCAAGAACAGCCACCAGAACATGCGGCACACTCGGCATCATAGCAGACTTGGAAAATTATGCCTGCTGCTCGACCACGACCTCCTTGTCGTTCTGCACGACTCAAAGCACTGCAGACACCCTTTCGAAAAGAGAGATTCTCCATGGACCAAATGTCAGGGCCTGTCACCCGTGGAAGGGGTGGCAAGTCTCGAGGTTCACGAAGTACTACCGGCCCAGATCAGCCCAAGTTTCAGATACAATGGCTATCTGCTCCCTTCCGCACCCAGAAGGTCATCAACTACCTCCGTGACCACTCAGCTGATTGTCGGATATTATTCCCCTCTGAAGTAAAACAATCACACCCTGATGATGGCCGCCCCTCGGCCAAAGATAAAGTCTCAATCTGCGCTATCATTGCCAAGCATGTCTTTGAGGACGATGGTGACTATACAGACCACTATGCAAATGCACCGGATAAATTCCGAGACTCTACGAACAATCACATCCAGGCGTAAGTTTGTCTGATAGTCCTCCCCCTATGTACTAACATCTATTTAAAGTCTCAAAAAAAAATATCATGAATGCCACGATCGATTGCATGCCACTGGTGCTGGTGTCGTGCCGCAGGACGAACACGCTCCCCAGAATTTACGTGGTATGTATCCCTTTCATATTTAAGATAGTCTAACTGACAAATTTCACAGCGCAGGTACTCAAAGAATTTCCGTGGTACGACGATCTTGCTATCATTTTGAGGGGGAATCCGGCATTGTCCTCTCGAACAGTTTCATCACGCCCGGGAACGGACCACGCCGCCAATTTTTTTTCAATCTCACATTCAGCTGGGAGCTCATACTCTAATGGCTCGAATTCTGGAAGCGCTCAGTATGGCTATGCCCCTGGCACTCATCCTCAGCCTAATCTTGCCAGTGCTAATAATCCTTCTGGCGCTCATCCTTCTTCCAGTGCTCATCCTCCTTCCGGTGCTCATCCTCCTCCCGGCACTTATCCTCCTCCCGGCGCTCATCCTCCTCCCGGCACTCATCCTCCTCCCGGTGCTCATCCTCCTCCCGGCACTCATCCTCCTCCCGGTACTTATCCTCCCGGCACTTATGCTGCTCCCGGTAGTCACTATGGATTCAGTCACGCCCCTCAGCCCTATCAGATGGGCTACCATGAGGAGCATGCCCAGCGCCCCCGGTATCATACTCAATCTCACAGCACGCCTCCCCCCTCTGACTCTCCTCTCGACGAGGATGAGGACATCAACATGCTAGATTATTCTACCCTTCCCAATGATGGGGAGGGGACAGATTTTTCATTTGGTGACCTACCGCCACGCAATCACCCTGTGATGCCTGATTACCGGGACGAACCTAATGTCATCATCCTGGATAGTCCACCTAAGTCTAGACCTGCAAGATCAAAGCGACCACCTCCTCCATCATCCCTGTCGCTGTCCCCGTCCCCGTCCCCATCCCCCTCTATCACTCCCCCGCCAAAATCAGACTTCATTCTACCGCCAAAATTGCAAACTTCCCACCGCGACAGTCGCAGTTCCTTTGCGCTCGCTGATCCGAAGAAACATCTGGGCACGGCGTCACCCACGCCTGTCTCTCGCCGCTCTTCAGAGAAACGTCCGGGCACGGCATCACCCAAGCCTGTCTCTCGCCGCTCTTCAGGGTCATCCTTGCAGTCTAGACTGTCGACGTCATCGGCGCCTGCAGCGATGTCTCCGACATCTAAAGCTGCGTCCTCCACAGGCAAACGCAAGCAGACGAAGAAGGCACGGTCTGATATTCAGAGCCAAGTTGATCTGATCAAGGACGAGATTGGGAACGCGCAGTCGGATAGGATTACAAGGGAGGAGCTGAAGAACGAGCGATACATGCTGAAGTATAATCTTGCGCATCAGGTAAGCGAGCACAGATTCCTCAAGACCGAACGTGCCGACGAATGTGTGGAAGCTGCTGCTGCCCATCAACGTTCTTTGGAGGCAAAGGCCTCCGAGATCCGCCTCCGCGAGGCAGAGGCCAAGATGCATGATGCATTGGCACATGCACATGCTGAGGAGGCAACAACGCTCCGCCTCAAGATTGAACTTGCTCGGCTTACTAATCCTTCTGGGTCTTGAGGGTGTGCTATCCTGCTGTTCATACTGCTCATATGTTACACATGTTACTTTCTGTTACATTGATCTTTGTGTGTACTAGCTTGCCAATAGAATCTGCAACTATTCCTACTCTCCTCTCCTTTGTGCCCCTGAGTGAGGACTGTCCAATAACAAATCTTTCAACATCTCTCTATGAATGTGACCAGGTGTCCCTTCATACAACCTATCACCCACCTGCCCATTCCCATCTGGTCCTTCATCTTCACCATGAGCAATATTATTGTCCTCCTGACAAGCCCATTTCACTGAGCCCCTGTTCCCTGTAAGATTGTGCTTTTCTTCAAAACGGATTATCATGTTGTGAAGTATCAAACAACACTGAATCCAATAGGACAGCTGCCTGCAGGTCCTCTGCTGAATTGATATTCTGTCGAAGATCTCGAAGAGATTGGAACCGCCCTTTCAATGCAGAAAATGCGTGTTCGACACTGGACACGGACCTAAATAAAATTAAAATGAAGAAAAATCAGGAGAAAAAAATATACAAACTTTGGAAAGATAATAATTGAAGGTCCTCTGATTTGCTGTTAGTTGTCCATTGCGGGGCTTCCTTGAAAGGAGGAATACACCAGGTGTTCAGTGGGTAAGCACTGTCTGCCCAGATCCAGTGATCAGCTGGCAGAAGTGTGTCGTGCTCTTGATAGATACGAGTGGATTTAAATGCATATGCATCATGGACACTTCCAGGGTGACCAAGAGCATAATCAACTATAAGAAGATTATGAGGCATAATGACTGCCTTGAATTTTTTTAATTTTTTAATCATAAAAATAAAAATAAAAAACTCACTTGACAACCAAGGGAATACTTAGATTTCCTATCATAAAAAGCCTCATGGAAAAAGCCTGGAGTTGCATACAGATCAACTGTGGTCCCATCAACAGCTAGGATCCCATTCTTCCACTCAGGGCAAGTGGTAGCCTTTGCACTATACTGCCGAGCAAGCTCAAAATCCTTTGAGTCGTGGGGAGGGAAGACCATGAAGGCATCATGCTGGTCAAGCAGTGCGACCATTACACGATTAGTACAGTTGACAACAGAGCCAACACTAACGCCTGCCCATTGAGACACATCCACTAGAGAGATGGAATTGCCATAGTGGCCAGCACGGTTGAGAAAAATTGCAAGTTGAATAGCAACAGGAAGCTGGGGGTTGTTTGAGTTAGTTGTGAAAAATAGGATGGCCAGAGATTAGATCAAGGATGTCGTCAAAGATTTCTGGGTCCACGCGTAATTTATGACGAAATAAAAGAGGGCGATGTTCTCCAAAATGAACAAGAAGGTGGAGCTGCGGGGCCCTTGGGAGAGGTTCCTTGGGCCTGTGGAGTACACGAGCCCTTAAAACTTCATCCCGGAGAGTCGAAATAGCATCTTGGAGGCGGTTGTAGTGGGCAAGAACATAGTCATCAGAAAAGTCAGATGAGTCGTCAGATAAGCCAGAGAGGACTGGAGAAAGAGGTGAGGGAGGGGTAATCATGACATTTAAGAAAATATCAAGCTCTGAGTCATGGGTAAGATCAAAAGATTCAAAACTTGAGATAGAGTCCATAGAGTCATCATCTTCCATGACTTGCTGATATCTTGCCCTGGCTACCACAAGGGCAGTCTGGTCAATATCATTCAGCATCTGTGCATGGTTGGATTGACGAGGCATGATGGGGATCAAGGGTATCAAAACCCCTATCTGGTGTGCATATGTGACGTAGATTTCAGCGGAGTTTAAAATTTCGGAATAGTCCGGTGTTTCATCTCACGTCGTAAGTTGGCGTCGTTCTCGATCTCACCTCGCACCTCGGTCCTCAGCACCCAGCACTTAGGACACAGGCCTCAGGCCCATCATGGTCATTACCTTATCAGATGTCATGCATGCAAGGTAAGTGATTTTGTGCTTTTCTCGAGCTCACTAACTTTTGCTCTTCTCTAGTTCTATTTTAGTCTTATCAGATGCAGACCCACCTGACCAGCAGCGCCTCATTTTCGCTGGCAAGTCGAAGACCGATCACATTGGAGGTGGAGTCTTCTGACACCATTGACAAGTCCCTCCTCCTCCTCTTCCTCCTCCTCCCCCGGCCGCTTAACCGTCGCGTCTCTCGTTTCTGCGGAGGGACGCAGATCTTCGTCAAGTCCTCTTCCTCCTCCTCCCCCGGCCGCTTAACCGTCGCGTCTCTCGTTTCTGCGGAGGGACACAGATCTTCGTCAAGTCCTCTTCCTCCTCCTCCCCCGGCCGCTTAACCATCGAGTCTCTCGTTTCTGCGGAGGGACGCAGATCTTTGTCAAGTCCTCTTCCTCCTCCTCCCCCCGGCCGCTTAACCGTCGAGTCTCTCGTTTCTGTGGAGGGACGCAGATCTTCGTCAAGTCCTCTTCCTCCTCCTCCCCCCGGCCGCTTAACCGTCGTGTTCCTCATTTCTGCGGAGGGACGCAGATCTTCGTCAAGTCCCTCCTCCTCACATCTCCTTGCTGGTCTTTTTTGCGAGAAGGAGATACTAATTTTGATGTTTGGTCTTGATGCTGCTGGTAAGACTATCCTGTATAAGCTCAAATTGTAACTACCATCGTATTCAACGTTGAAACTGTCAAATATAAGAACATTTCTTTATGATACTTGTGCAAGTTTCCCCATCGCATGCTTCGCAAATCCTAAGTGTTGTTTGAATGTCCGACATCGTGCCAATGTGCGCTGGGTATTACTCAGCTGTGTTACTTTCAACCTTAATTGAGTTTTGTCCAACTCCAGCCGAGAGTTAGCGAGCTTTAGCGAGGTTTTAATTTCTACTCTGAGTACCACTTGTATATGTACATGGCATTAAATAACAATAAAAGATGTGTTTGAGCAGGGAAGGCAGATATGAGTTTTTTCCCTACTGTAATTGTTATAGTAGTATCTGTATACACACAGCAAATAATGAAACAACATATCAATTACAGACAGAGGGAAAACAAATATATGGTGACAGGAGATGAATGACAGAAGGTTGTGAAAAATCAAAAATCAAAGGAGACAAAGACAATGTGGACTCAAAAACTGGAGAATGGGAGGACAGGAAACTGGGACAACGGGAGAATGAGAGACAGAAGGACTGGAAAATGAGAAACTGGGAAACTGAGACGGGAGACGGGAGACGGCAGATGGGAGACGGGAGACGGGAGACGGGAGACGGGAGACGGGAGACGGGAGACGGGAGACGGGAGACGGGAGACGGGAGACGGGAGACGGGAGACGGGAGACGGGAGACGGGAGACGGGAGACAGGAGACGGGAGGATGTAGGAGACAATTGGGAGATGGGTAGGTGTCGGAAAAAAGTTAGGTACCATTGTAATACTGCCGGATTACAAGTTCAGCTCAGCACCTTAAGAGGGCCTTACAAGGCATTTTAACGGGCCATTCTGAGGCACAGCGAGGCAAAACTCAACATAAGGTCATCAAAAGGGCCCTTATAAGTGCCTTTTAATGGGCATTAAAATATCATCTTGCCTGTTTAAAAGCCCTTATAAGGACACCCTCCAAATAGAGCATTATAAAATGTCTTGCAAGGCCTTAAAACCCTGGGAACTTTTTTCCGACAGGCAAAGATGGGAAAATAAATACAGTACATATCCCAATAATGCATATCCCAGTAATGCATATCCTAGATAATGCATTGACTTTGGCAGGGTCCCATCGTGGGCGCAGCCATTATGCACTAAAAACTTCATACTGAATAATGCATGAACTTTTGAGGGTAATATGCATTGTCTGGGTACTATTAATGGGGGCTGCATTGTTCTATGTGTGAATATAAGCAGCAAAATATGCTAGATAAGATATCACAAAAGTCTTTACAATGTCTCAATCCGAGCAAAGTTGTCAATAAACCTACTCAGGAAACTGCTAAGCCTATTGAGATTGAATCTGATGACGACGACGACGGCAACAACATAGAATTGAGCACATTATGTCAGCGAATTGAGACCGCCTGCTTACAATATGGTAATCCTCGGTTAGCCTTAGAGGAACTCTGTAGTTATTGTGGTCAGTTGTGACGGGAGGAGCTACAGAATGCAAAGCAGGCATCATTAGATCAATATTTTACCAAGTAATTGGTGTACTATCTACTGTGGTTATAACAAGGTCACACGGTGTCACAGTGTGTGACATCCAGCATCGTGCATATCCATGGTAATGCATGGCATTTTCAGGCTCCCGACCATATGCATTATTGGGATATGTACTGTACATTCAATGATACTGTTATATATTTTGTAATTTTGTCAGAATCCTGCTCAAAGAATGTAGAACTGACTGATCTTACTATGTACTATGTACTTTATGTGGTGGTAGATTGTGTTTTTAGTTTTTTTGAACTGCTCATAAATGTATTTTCAAAATTATTCAAAATGCACAATTTATTAGGATGCAGCCTGAGGCCAGGAAGCCAAAGGAGGGCGTAGCCCTCCTTGGCTTCCTGTGACGAAGGAACAACACTCATTTTCCTCCCCTGAAGGAGCGCGTAGCGCTCCTTCGATTTGTGCCGAAGGCACAACGGGCGTGAGCTCGTCTCGGCTTGACCAATCGACTCTGCATGTACCTTGAAGTGAGGAACATGATACATTAAATCCTACACTGCGCAAAATGAAAGACCGTTAATCAGCCAACGTGAGATACATCCAACGACGAAATGTCTTGTCCATCGTCAACCGACACCGATGAAGCTACCCTTCGCCAGCTCACCCACGCACAGCTACAAAAGGTTGCGAAAGTATGATTCGGATTACTTATTCAGGTTCATTTGCTCACTGACCAATATGAAGATGAATTGATCATCAAAGAGATAGTAAAGATGACCAAGCTTGGGGCTTAGTTCCTGGTCTTCGTCGCAAGTATCAAAGATAGCGGCAAAAGCAAGTGGTGAGAATCATGCGCGAGATCACTGTAAGAGATAGCCTGACATTTTCCAGTAAACAGTTCTCTTATCGAGGAAAACGACACCTCATCCAGTGCCGCACATGCGGATACGATCACACACGCTCTGACCATTGAAGAATCATGGAGTTCGCGGAACACCTTACCATCAAGGACATAATCACCGAAGGTGGTCCCAATAGCTTTTCCTATTCCGCAAAACGTCGACGAGCTGATATTCTGGAAGTTGTACGAGGTTCAGCTGAAGTGCAAAAAGTGATCATACGGGCATATAATCGAAAGAAAGAAAGAAGAAAACGAAGACGCGGGAACAACCGGAGCAAGGTTATTAGTCGGCAACCCCGGCCCCTAGTACATCATGCATCAGGTGATACAAGTGTGGGCACTATTTAGGTAAGCTCGTACTATATTCAGGGCGCTTGGCAAAATCCGGGGGTTCTGATTAGCACGTGCGTTTCGCTAGGTTCCGGGAATCAATGTACAGGTGCCTTTTCATCGAATGCTACGTTCCCGTATGACATGTCACTGATTCGATTATCGAGTGTATAGTGCCAGTAGGTTGCCAACTGTACGATGTGCTCGTTCACAGTTCTCTCTCCTACGTGGTGAGTGGTAGGCAGTCACTCACATGCAGCTAGGAAGATTCCGCGAGTGGTTTGAGCGATTGAGTCTGTTCTGGTCATGCTTTATCCGTTGCTGTAAGCAGCCCTGTTCAATTCGATTATTGAAGTACGTGACGATGTGTGTCACTTGATGTCGTTTACGAAGTATTCTGGAAGTCAGCACCTACCTCAAAGCCTTCCGCTGTGCTCCTGGTAAGCATCATCTCTATGCATTCAATGCAGACCCCTCATCCCGTGCCCAGGACTCCAATAACAAAAGTCTGGAAAAGAAGACCATGATACTGTTGATCTGTTGATTGCCCTTTTGGTGATGATCAGTCCAGCTTGTCCCTCACCGAGTTCGATCACCTTGGCGGCGGCAAAACTCATCTAATATCCAAAACGAGCGCTCAATCCAGCGCCTCGCCACCGTTTATCCATTCCACACTATCAGAAGCCCAGTTAAGCGGCTCGCCCCAGCCAACCAGACAATTCACATAGCACGGACAGGGTGTCAGGTCCGATGTACACCCGTGCATCATGCAGGACATGCGCGTTTTGACAAGTTCGAGAAATCAACCATTCACAGTGACATTCATCGTGGGTAGCTTTTTGACTCGTCTGAGTCATTCTTCCAGGCGATGAGCTATATACAGTTTAGTGGGTCGAGGGTCTTCGACTCCGGCCTTTAACTGACCTTCCTTCACATCCATAAGAGCTCATATTCAATGGACCTATGAAATACAGGAATTTGAAGGGAAACGGTGAATTCTGGCTGTTTTCTTTAATGCTTCTTTAGGTTGGCTCTTAGTAGGTGCGATTTGATTGTTCGCTCGAACAACGATTGCGTGTCGCAATTACTCCTCACTTGTATGCGACTGTCGATGCTCTGACCTACTGTCTATCGTGCTTTGCCTCCTGTCCGAAATTCTTGGGCAGCTGCGTGGTAGGGTGTTTACCGTGACGAAAGGGTTCTGTCATTTCACTCAATTTCTTTTACGACATACGCGCTTATTTTCTGCCCTTAAGAACTTTGTTACTGCCTTCCAATGTACATGCCATCAGCATGCCTTTCCGCTGTAGATTTCTTCCATCCCCTTCACTCGTGTATATCCATTATTATCTCGATCAGATTCACGTTCTCGGTTCAGCTTGGCGCGCGACTTCCGTTCTTGTCCAGGAAATAGCGCTGGCGCTTCTAGCGCGTACTTCGGCAATCCCTCATTTGACGATAGGCGAGCCTACTTTGGTTTTTATGCAACATTCAGGGCCGAGAATCAAGCCTTGCTTGGGCGGTGCGTATCAATTCGTTCCCGAACTGAACTTTAACGAGCTATGTAGTACTTACAGAGTAATGCACGAAATTTCTCAAGTTCACAAGGCATTCAAGTTATGGGGACAGTTTGTCCCCTCTGAAACCTTACCTCTCCCTTCCAGAGATGCTTCAGGGCATAAATTTTGTTGTGCAATCATACAGCCACATCTGCCGCTCCTCCTAAAATGTTGGCGCTCATTGTGACGAAAGGAAGTTACACGTGCATTCGAATTTTCTGTGCTGCAAGACTAAAATACAGTGGCGTTGCACCATCACGTCCTAGGCGCGGTCAACATGAGGCAGTATAAACCCTTTACGCGACCTATATATCCTCGCGATTGTTCTTGACTCGGATAAATCGGTTACCGCCTTACTGCTGCTCATGTCCAGCCCAAGTGAGAAAACTCGAGTTGTCAGTGGGTGCTCACAGTCATCTCGGCCACACACCACCCCGAACGAGAGCTTTTTCGACAAGTTTCCAAACAAGTGGGATGCTCCAAAACCCTTCATTTCTCGGCATATGCTGCTTCGTATTCACTTGGCGCAGCGATCTGCACTGGTTGTACGACCTCTTGCGAGAGGGAAACACCTGGGAAGAATTGCATCGTCAATATCTAACCCAACTTAATCAAGTGAGCACAGTGGTAAGTCGATGATGGGCATCAGTCATTCAAATTGATCGCATTAATGTGTTCTTGCGCAGCAAGGACTCGTGCTTGCCACTGCGGCAGTTTTTATCTCCTCAAATCCACCACTTGTGAACGATGTTGACTACACATCTAAGGCATCTTACGCCTGTTTGGCGGAGTCGCTTGTCTTTTCATTATTTGGGCTATTGTTCCAGCTGAAGGTATCTGCCGCCGGGATCCTTTTTCAAAAGCGTAGTGCTGCAGAAGTGCGTATCGTCTATTGTCGAAGTGGCAGGTTAGAGTTGACCTCACCGTGACACAGATTATAATCGAGAGGCGCTGGAGAATATTCTGGCACCTCCTGGGTATGGCAGTGCCAATCGTCATCTTTACTATATCAGTGGTGCTTTTGCTCATAGGTGAGCAGTTCACCTCGTTGTGCGTGGTCGTGACTTACACAGTTCATCGTCAGCTATTGTGCTCACGGGGTTCGCATCTCACTCCGAGACTGTCCAACTTTATCTGAGCATAACATTTGCTTTCCTTCTTTGTTTGTCATTTGGTGTCGATTTTAGGTTCACCATTCTACCACCATTTTTCGAACCTATGCTTCCGCCTTGTTCACACGAGTGGTAAAAGACCTCAGGAAGCGGGCGAATCTTGAGTATTAGTGATGGAGGTTCTGCATGGGTACTGGCATGTCATAAACTTTTCGTGGTTGGATACGATGTCTGTCCTTGTTTGTTTGCTTGGTATCTGGCGATATGTTTTCCTTTTTCTCTAATGTCGTGCTGGTTAATTCTTGTATTCTTTAGCGTCAGAGATGTATTAGTACTCACTGAATAGTCAATTCTTCCAGTATCTCGATCTTTGTCGGTGTTGTTTGGGACGTCTGTGTGCTAGTAGGTATCCATTACTCCTTCCGAAATTAGGCTTTCAGTACTATTCCTTCTACGAATCCATGATAACTTAGGTTCAGTCGCTGCTCCACATTGTCCATACTAAACGCAGTTTTTCGGTTTGTGCAGCGAAACAAGTCAAACTAGTACTTGTACAGTATCATTACAGCTATTTTCAATAAAAGTTCACTTAGCTGCTTTTGTTTAGTGTTCAAACAGAGGCGCTCATGCTAGCTACCTTTGTAAGTCATCATAACTTTTGGGAGTATTATGTAGTACAACGACTGCCGACCGTCATCATGCCATCATGCACAGAAACCGGCTGTTGACATAAGTGGGTTGTCCACAAGCACGACTTGCCTTTGACAACATTTTGGTGTTTCGCACAGCGAAGGCTTCGTTGCTTGACAATGAAGATCACCTACAGTTGATAATAGCAGCGTAGTATGATACAACCATCACCGTGTGCAGCTGGTCGCAGGATCAATCAGCGCGCACGTCACAACAATTGCATCGCCCCGGCCAAGCCCCATAATTGACGTAGGACTTACAAAAGTAGCTACTAGCATCATGGATCGCCTCGCTCCAATAATAAACGAAAGCGGTCAAGAGATTCTTGTCTCGATATGAAAATAGCTGTAAAGCCGGCTCGGTGGCTATTGCCAATCCACGACGTCATGCTGTGCGGACGCTGCGCTTGCTCGATTGCTGTGTTGCTGAGGGAGATTTTCTGCGGGAGTCCTCGGAGCATACTCTGGCGGCCGACACCTATGAGTGAAGTCATGACCAAACATTCGCATCTCCAGCCTGCGGCCGCAGCATCGATGACTCCCAATTCGTGGCTTTCATGGATCGCATTCAATGGAGAACACTCTCATAGCAGCGGCCTCGGCCTCCTTTTCCCACCATATATTCTCTCAAGACGACCGAAGGGGGTCCTTGTACATATCGTACTTGCTTGGCTTGATCAAAGACATGTCATCTAGACCACACTAAAATTGACAACAACTATCTGAACTATTGTATCGTATCAGTATACGAATACCCGAAGCTAAACATCAACTTGAAGGGAAATCTTCACAAGAGTAAAGTAACCCCTGGTACCTAAATGCGAAAAAATCGATCATATCATAAGTAACAAATAAGACGATCATACATAGATTTTTTGTTGACTCGATGTCGTGGAAAACAAGGAAGTAGTAGGTAGCCGGTATCGAGGGCGGGAATAAGAATAGGAATAGCGAAAGATATGCATAGAACGAACGACAGATTAGTACAGCGTGAAATCGTAAAATATCATTAGTTTCATGTCGGATTCGCGTGAGTCAAAAACGCGGGACTGTTTGACTTCAGCGCCTTGAGATGTAGATTTATGCTTTACTAGGGACGATCATCAACGCCTCCAATATCTCTTCGAGGCCTCGTCCGAGACCCTCGCGCTGCCATTCGCCACCGACGTCATCGAGCATGGCGATGCTGTCACGCTCACGACCACTGAGACTCAGCATCATGTTGGTTGAGGGCGTAACCTTCCACACCAGGAATATGAGGTGGCGGCTCAGGAGTTGCGCAGGTAGTGAATGATGACAACGGAACCATTGATGCCGGTGTTGATGCGAGCAGATCGGCGTAACTCATGAACGAGAGACGCTTAGTGGGTCCGTGCGTTGGAGACGGAGGGTGGGAGATGGTGATGGGACGTATGTAAGGTGAAGATGTGTAGGTTGATGAAGGCGACAGTGTTGAGATGGCGATAGGGGGGAGTGCAGAGGAAGGATGCTCCGCAGTCGTGGTCGTGGGTGATGGTTCGACTGATGAGAGCGTGGAGTAATATACAGATGCAGGCGTGCTGATAGAAGGTGCGGCAGACGCCTTGCCACTTGTACCCTGTTTTGAGGGAAAAGCGAGTGGGCTCGTCTGGATGCTCAACCGCTGCGGACTGCCCGCTCCCACACCCGGCGTAGATAAATTAAGGGGAGTAATGGGCCCCTGCTGAGATGGAATGCTCAGCAACAAGCTCGTCCTTCCTGATGGACTTGGGCTTCTGCTTCTCAAGCTACCGATTGGGCTAGCGAAACCGCTAGTAGTGAGGCGATCACGATCTCGCGAAGGACTGACGACCGAAATGTAATCTTCCTCCATGGGAGAGGAGGCTGCGAGAATTGAAGCAGCACTATCGAGCACAGAAGGTACACTGTGCTCGAGTTGTTCAGTGCCTTTTGCACGCGCAATGCGATGGGGATTCGGGTGAGAAGGGGGGGAAGGAGGGTGCATGGGCTCAATATCACGCTCGAAAATTGCGGATGACGATGAATGACTGTAGTTGCGATAAATATAAGTAGGTATTTGATGAAAGTGGAGTGGCTTACGCAGATGTCGGCGATGAAGGAATTGAAGAAGGTGAGCGAGAGCCCATCCTTGTTGTATTCAGGTGCTGAGAAGTATGAGTTGAGAGTCTATGTTCCCTAGTTGAATCTTTCTGGGGAGTAAGCAGCGTCGAGTTGGACGTCATACGTCTGAGATCAACAGGGGGCGAGTGTTGCACACTGGAAGATGGCGACATAGTCATGGCTACCAACGAACGTCAGATTTTCAAAGGTAAGAACAAAAGATAAAAACCTACGTTGAAATGGGTCTGGAGAAGGATGAGTGGACATTTTACTGTGGATGTTGTCGGAACTGTGACTGTGTTGGATGAGTGAACAAAACGTTCGTTGAGTGTGGTTATAACTTTACCAAAGGCGCTGTGCAATGCCGCCGAAATGCTTCCGAAGGTCCACTGCAGACCACTAAACCGGTCCTTGGCGGTCCTTCCGATGGTCCCGCTAGTCCGGCATCTTCGATGATCATCCTCACGATACGCATCACAGTGATCACACGTTCTCCACGGCCACCCCAACACTTGAATTAAGCGTACCCGGCCGCATGCCATCATTCATTCATCACCAACTATCGATCCCTGAACTCAGACCTACCGGATCTTCTCGTTCTCACATTTAGCAGTGCTTTCGGAGCATAGCCCATTTCGTCCAGCCTGATCTCCACACGAGTTTCATGCAGGGCACTGGGTTTCTCAGCTCCTTGCTTCGCATTTCTCATTTGTTCGTGATAACAAGGGTCTGCTGACTGACGCATCCATTCTTCCGACGTTCTTCGAGTCCATTGCGTGAAAAGAAGTCTTCTCTACACAAGGATGTGGTTACTTATCAGACCCACATGAGCTCATTATTGTCAATGATACTTCGCTATCATGATGCGTCGGAGTGTTGGTCAAATGCTAGTCACTCCGTTTTACATCACCGCAATTAATCCAGAACTTGCCCATGGCCAGCAGTTGCTGTTGCTGTTGCTGTGCTTTCTAAAAGTTTGTTCTGACTTGTGAAGGTCGTATCTATATCAGTGGCCCCAAACCAGTGATACAGCCCGTTCTAAAGCATTCCGGTAGTTTCAATTCCCGTATCTCACAGAGCCTCCAACATACGCTTACGACATGATCAACGTTGCTTGTTGTCACATGCGGGTTTTGTATGACGTTCGCATGATTTTCATAATGTATCATTCTATCATAGAACGCCCAGTGCCTTCTTCTCGAAGGTTAGGTCGGCCGCCGAACAACAATTTTTCGGGGGTGTGTTGATGTCACGATCACGGCATAAGAATCTTGTGTCATTCTTATAGGGAATGGTCGCCGGACTCCATCATCATGTGCCCGTCGAGTATCCAATCGTCGTACAGAAAGGTTGATCGTCATCATTGAACGTTGAACGTTAAATGACAAGCAGAGCTTGTACGAGCGCCATCAATCTTGTGGCTGAGGCATTTAAACCATTGATGAACAGGATGCCATGGATGGTCGCCGCTTTTGCACCGACTGATCAGTGGACAGTGGCGCTTCAACGTTTTATGACTACAAGCAGTTGTGGTAGCGGTCAGATCTTTAGATGATACAAGATGAAGATAATTTCTTGCACCTGAAATCTAGGGATGCGTTCCTTTGCATCAAGAAATGTCATGGGTTCGTAGTCCGCTTTCGGATGCGACACTATTAGCTGATAGGATGAAACTCATAGAACGTCAGGACAGGTACATCAGAGAGAATAACTTGAAATGAACCTCATGCAGGCCCCCCCGCCTTCTTCATACTGTGCTCCTTGTCCCATTCATCGTCATCATCGACATAGTGTGTTGTCCTCCACATCTCATAAAATCGCGAATAGAAAGGCGACGGTAGGATGGTGGTGTCGAGCGGCTGGCCGAAGATGTCCACGAGGTCACCATCGCCACTGACTTGGCTATCTGATCGAGTTTCCCCCTTGCTCACTCGTACCTTTCCGGTACATGAATGCACGTTGCCGTAGTAACGTGTGGCGGACAGGAATCGAGGGGAACAGGTGATGGATGTGTACGTCTTCTGCCCCCGCTGTACAGTGCCACTCACTCAAACACGGCAACTTTTCCTACGCGCCGCAATTTTGACCCATGTGTTTAAATTGAAACTTTGATAAGAACCATAGGCAAAGAAGCGTAAGAGTGTGCTACCTTTGGGATAGGT